CTCCAATCTTCAATAGATGACACCATAACTTTGTGGGAACATTCAACTTGAAACTTGCCCCCCAATCTTGTAGTTTATCATTTTTTATGGCTGCCCTTAAACACATTTTGATGTATCCAAGATGCCTACGTATCAATAAGTAATTTACTTTTTGGATCAAGCCAAACGTAGTTCAATTTGTGTGATTTTTGCTTTTTTTTTTTTTTTAGGCTCTTGCTTAGGAGCTTTGAGGACACTTTTTCATCTTTGCCCCCTTTAGATGTTGATGATCGTCTAATCAGATCTATCTTCACGATTGGCTATCGTAAACTCCATCTCATGAGCTCGGGTCGCCAAGTCTTGGAATGTTTTGGGCTTGATTCCCTGCAAGATGTAAGCAAGATCCCAATTCATGCCTTGGATGCACATCTCGACTGCCGAAGTTTCGAACAAATGATCTTTGCATTGAAGGCTTAATTCTCGTCATCGATTGATGTAGTCCACGACTGGTTCATCTTCCAACTGGTTGGTTTGTGTCAACTCAGTCATACTGACAACTCGCCGAGTGCTGAAGAAGCGATCGAGGAACATTTCTTCCATTTGCTCCCAACTGTCGATGGATTTTCGAGGTAGATATGTGTACCAATCGAAAGCAACAGTCTTAAGAGAGCAAACAAACTGCTTGACAAGCAAATCTCCCGAGGTCCCAACATTATTGCAGGTCTCTATGAAGTGTGCAATATGTTGCTTGGGGTTGCCCATCCCATCAAATTGCTGGAATTTTGGAGGTTGATAACCGCTTGGCATTCTCATTTGTCAATAATCCTCTTGGTGTAAGGTTTGCTGTAGCGACCATCTTTGTCGACGTCTCTACCGAGCTGGTGTTTGATAGCATTAGCTATCATTTCTTGGATTGCTTGGAAGCTAAACAGATCACCTTGGTTTTTTTCACATTCTAAACTAAGCTTTGTCTTTGTGCTATATCACCTTCACTTTCTTCGATTGGGCGCTTCTCGAGTCTTCTTTCAAGTGCAGCAATTTGTTCGCTTTGGAGCTTAATTTGTGCCCCCTTTTCTTCGTTGTCCTTGACGAGCTTCTCAAGAAGTAGCTTCATATTTGCTAAATCCTCCTTGATGGTGTTTGCTTCGATTGCCATGACATTGACGACGTCGTCTTGTGCACCGTCTCTTGTCATCATTTCTTCTATGTGCTTCATCATTTTAATTCGTGGAGAAAGAGATGAGAGGCAGAAATCGTCCCACCGAGCATGCCAAATTTGTAAACACAAATTTTAAATCTGTAAAATATAGATTCAAAACCAATGCAACAAAGTGTAAATTTTATTAATTTGATAATTTTGGGTACAATCTCTAATTTGATCCTCTGATTCGATCTCCAGTTTGACTTTGACGTAATTCACAAATTGACTTGATTTTCGAACGAGGGTCGTCGAGGCTTGATCTCGATCGAAGATTATTTGATGCAGAACTTTGACTTATGTTGATGTATGTATACCTTTGACTCGTTGTTGATGTAGACCTTTGACTTGAACTCTTGATTGTGGGCCAACGAGGCTTGGTCTCGATCAATGACTATTTTGATATAGAGGTTGAACTGGTGTTCTTGTTGATTTGAATTCCTTCTTTCTTTCGTGTTGAGGGCCGTTGAGGCTTGATCTCTTCCACGGATGATCTTCTAGAGTAGAACGACACGTCAAATGCTTGTTGTTCTTCTAGATTTGAGAGGTTTGTCCGGAGAGTTTTAGAGTATTTTATGAGAGGTTTTCTCTGGAGAAGTTTAGTGTATTTGAGAGGCTTTCTCTGGATTTTGATCTACTTGTTTACTTTAGGTTTTTCCTCCTCTAGGTTTTCCTCTTTTTTTCCTGATTTCCTCCCCTTCAAATGAAATAGAGAGCTTTTATTTATAGGGTAAAGACACACCTAGGGTTAGGGTTAGATGTATACATTGGAGTTGGGCTTAACAATAATATAACACTAATTAAAATGGGCTAATTTAAGTTATTTGACCCAAAATAATTAATTCTAATTAAAGTCAAATAAACATGAGTCAATACTTTGACTTTGACCCGTATAATATCCAATGCGACACTTATATAAAATTTACGTGCCTACACCAACTATTAGGTTGAGACAAAGGATGACTAATTTCATATGGATACATTTTGAAAGAAACAATATTATGCGACATAATTCTAGCTAGTCTAATATAGTATATAAAACTAGTTTTACAGAGTACTAGTTAAAAATAGTAATATAAAATCAATTATAGACTCAATTTATTCCCTTTTTGTTTTAAAGATTAAAGAAAGGAAAATGTTAATTACTACCTTAAAAAGGGGCATTTGTGAATTACTACCCCTAAAAATACCTAAGTGGATTTTTCGGCTAATTAACTCATTAATGACATCATTTGTCATCTTAGTACTAAATTAATCATTTTAATCCTAATTTAAAAATTAAAAAACCCTAGCCCTTTTTTGCGGCGAGCGCCTACCACAAACCAAACCCCCTCCTCTCCCGGCGGCGACTCCCCTCCCTCATCGTGTACCACGAACCCACCTCCCTCCCCCGGTGAACACCATGAGTCCATCCCCCGTCCACCACCAAACACCATGAACGCAAAGAAATGAGGTTTAGGGGTTACGAATGGAGGCGGTTTTCGCGGCTACGAAAAGGGTGGAGGACAATTATTGGGGTTGGGGAAGGAAAATTGGTTGTTATTGGGGGTTAAGCAAGAGTTGGAGGTTGTTTAATTTCTAGGTTTGGGGAAAGGAGGGGGAAACAATTGAGGGTTATGGATGGAAATAAGACAATTTTCAGGTGTTACAGGAAGGTGGAGGGCGGTAATCGGGGGTTACGTTAGGGAAGGGAAGGGGATGGGTTTCGTGGTGAGGGTAAGGTAAAGGGTGGATTTTCGGTGGTGGGGCTAGGGAAGGGGGAATTTCTGGTGGTGTGGATGGGGTAAAGGGGTTGCCAAAGGTGGAGCGATGGTGGTGTGAAGGTGGATAGGTGGTAATTTAGAATTTATTTAATTAATTAGGATTTAAAGTCACTAATTATAATTTGGCCAGAAAATGATATCATTAGTAAGCTTAAGTGACCGTAAAAGAGGAGAAGGTAGTAATCAGTATAATTAATTGATTTTAGGGCTAGTAATTAACAACTTTTTTTTAAGGTAGTAATTCGCAAATGCATCTTTTTTAAGTTAGTAATTCACATATTTTTAAATAAAAATTGTATAGTACTTCGCTTGAAAATGATTTTCTCACTCGTGAATTTTACTCCATTTCAAAATGATGTTATCAAATGTAGTATACATTACTCACTCCGTTACTCGTAAATTTACGGTTGACATATATGTATAACTAGGTTAACCCCCGTGCATTTGCACGGTTGTTGAATAATTATGATAATAATATAATTATATAAAAATTAATGAATCGATTCATCAGGTATTAAAGTGCATGAAATATATTAAAACAATTAAAACATGTGAGAGAAAATATTTATAATTATAAATTATAACGTGCAAGTTGATATTTTAAGAAGTTTATTTTAGATTTTATATAAAAAAAAAAAGTCATAATCTAAACGCAATCTTTATTTTTATATAACTAGGGCAGCTAACGCGCGCGTTGCGCGCGGAATAGCTAGCCATTTCGAGTTCGCTTTTTTCAGCTTGTGTTTAGGAATGGCAATAACCATTTATCACATGTGTATGTAATTATCACAAGTGTAACTAAAACTTGGCAGTGTTTGGGTGGAACAACAATTACTTTAGTTGTGGATGATTACTGTTTTACATTATGTGTTTAAAATAAGTGTTTTTTTTTTTAATAAAGCCTTATGAATTTAGGCCGTAGTTTTAAGGTTTATTGGAACAACTAAAGTATCTAACCTAACGCATAATATTCTTAAACCATAACCTTGAAAATGTTACAAACAAAAGGTTCAAAAGCAACAATTACAACCAAACATTGAGCATAATATGTTGTATGTGGTAGTGTTCTTGTATGAAGAAACACTGTGTACTTATTCATGTTGTTGCTAAGTAGTTCTAGTAGAGTCTAGGAAAAGGAAATGGCTTTGATAGCCCACTTTAGAACCCGAAGACTAGTTAGGGATGTTGTTGATGCAATCTAAACATACAGTAGCTTGGTTGCCAAGGTGGTAGTTATTACTTCAAATTCTTGTTAGTCACCCTGTGAAATAATGCATTGAACAATACTTACCTATTTTTTTAAAGGTGAAGGAGACATTAAGATGAAGGAGAAATAGGAAAGCCAAGTATATAAATTGTTGGAATTATAAAAGAACTATCAGTTTCCTAAAAAAAAAAAGTTACAAACTTTAGCAATTCTTGAGCTTGGTTTTAATTAGAATTTAATTAGAATTGAATTGATAATAGGAAATGAATGCACGGAATTTGAAAAGAGTTACAATTATTGTTTATGGGAATAATTATTGCAAATTATTTTTAAGTACGGAGTACTATTTTAATCTTCCTATGACAGATTGATAACGTAAAATGTTGTGCAATAAATTAAAAATATAGCCTCCATTGAGCTAATGAAAAGCTTTTTCACATTCATCATCTTTATTGCTGGTCAATTATTACTTTTGGGTAGTGCATCATCTTCTCTGGGTTTTCTTCTACTCAGGGATGGTGAATAAAGATTGAGGAGATAGAAATTAAAGCGTAAAACTCATTAATGGGTAGGGATTATAAAGGGGTAAGAAGGTAAATAAACATTTTGAAGGGCAAAAAGGTCCGTGCACTATTCATAAGAACAACTTCCCACTTTTTATAAGGTAGGGATAACCATTTTTTTAGAAAGTAATTTTGGCGAGAATTATTTTAATAATATGTTGCCAAGTGTTCCTTAAAATTCGTTTTTAATAGTATGTAATTGATTGATTGATGATTGATTGATGGATGCAACTCATTAATGTTACTCCTCTCATTGCCAAAAAAAAAAAAAATAAAAAAAAAAAAATAAATAAAAAATTTACTCCTCTGTTTTCACTTTGTTTGGTTTTTCCGTTTGAAATTTTAATTTGTCCGCTACCTTCCCTCTTTCTCTCCTCCACTGAAGAGTACACTGAATCCTCCATTAAACCAACTTCCGAGCTTTCTTTCCTCCATTGAAACTACTTCTCAGGTAACATTTTCTTTTCCTCTTTTTTTCAATCATCGAATTCAAATTTCACAATTTAGGGTTTTGTTTTACACCATCCTTAATTTAACTGTTATTATAACAATTTAGGGTTCTTCCAAATTGAACTATTGTATTATTAATAATAAGTACTCATGTTATTTAAGATTATAACCAGCAGTTTTGTTGCTAGAATTTTTCGATATGCATTTAAAGTTGTTGTTTTCAAGCTAGAAGATTTTTATGCAATTTTTTTGAGCCTAATTTGATAATTGAGTCAATTTAATTGCTAATATACTTCATACTTTTGTTTATAAAGCTTTAATGTTAATATGGAACTATGAAAATGGATCAATTCTTCCTCGGCCGAAGCTGGCCGCCCCCTTCTGCTGTGGCTAGGGGATAGGCCTGACTTTGCTTCATCATGATGCATTAATAGCAATGTCATATGTGCAACATTGTATTTAATTTATATGCTCTCTTTCAAGTTTCAACAATCGTAGTTTCGATTAGGGAAACATATGTTGATTCACTTTGTTGTGTATGTGTTAGATTTAAGTTTTCTTTGTAGACCGTCTTATGTGTTTTTTGTTTAATTTTCAGACTCGTAAATACTGGGACTGCAGTCAGACACACTACTTCTTTGCTGATTTTTACTAATTAGTGGAATCTTGAAAACTTGTTTATGGCAAAATACTATGACATTGATGATATTCTTGCAGAAGAGGAGGTAAATTCGAGTACTCGTTTATTAGCGTACAGATAATCAATCTCTAGTAATAAAGTAATCAGTGTTAAGAATCCTTATTGATTCTTTGTTTTGAATTTCTTCAAGTTCATTCCAGTGGTGTTCCAGAAGGCAGCAACTGGAGTAGGACTCCTTGACCCCAGTGCTGAAACCAACAATGTAAGATTTCTGAAGTCGTAAATTTAGATTAAAGGAAAAAAATTACGTTTCTTTCTGACTGTTCGCCGTTGACATATTTCCAGATTGAACAGGGAGCAAAAGTGGAATTGCCTTTCTGGCTTGCTCATGAGTTACATTCAAGACAAGCAGTGGTTATGAACATTCCACCCTGCTTCAATCAAATGTAAATGAAATTTGCATTATTACATTATTGAGTTAATAAGTGCTGCATTGTGTCTCGTAGTCTCGTCATCTATAGATATTTTGTGTTATTGCTTAATCGAGTTAACTATTGCTTGGTATTAAGATTTTGCATGACTTAACATGTAGAGTGTTCTATTGTAGTGCATGCGATTTAATCTAATTTAGATCTTGTTACCTGTTTCCTTCTTATTTCAGGACAAGGAAGGAAATTCAGGCTGATCCCGGATCTGTTGATCTTCGAAATCGATGTCAATATTTTTATGAATTAGGATGCAAGCTAGCACCTATGTAAGCTCTCCTTCCTTTTGTTTGCACATGTATATGATTTCTATCCTTGCTAATTTTGTAAAAGATTGCACATCTGTATGTACTTGCTACTTGGTAACCCTGTGATGTAACAATTTGGTCAGCCGAATAACTTTGCCTCATGCTTTATAGGGTATATACTGCAAATCCTCACCTCATTATTTTCCCCCTGTATGTGGTTTCAAATAGCTTTGTACAAATATTTTGCTACTTTGTTCTTAAGAAAATATATGGCAAAAAAGCCCAAATGAGCATTCATGCATCGGCATATTACCCCGCTTTGAGGATTGACTATTAGATTCCCGAAGGTCATGATATTTTATTGTTTCTATTTGCCGTCAAGAGTCAAAACAAATTCAGGTTATAATTTTCATCTAGGTTTGAGAAAAGTCGTAATCATCAAGGTTTACTTGATTAGGTGTTCACTATTGGCATTAAACACTATGTATTTTGATTGTTCAGCATGATTTGGCCTTGTTTGGTAAAGGCCATGTTTGGTAATTGGCTTTTTAATGGCTTTTTGGTTAGCTTTTAGCTTTTTAAGGTGGTCAAACAGCCAAAAAATGTGTTTGGTAATTGGCTTTTTAGTCAGCGAAAAAGCTGGCTTTTAAGCGAAAATGAAAAAGTTGCTTTGAGTAGCTTTTTTGTTGGCCCACAAATTATCTAATAAACAGTCAACAACCACCAATTAATTTACCAAACACTTTTATAAACAGTCAACTTAAACAGCCAATTTCAAAAGCCATTATAAACAACCAAACATTCCAGCTGGTCAAACAAGCCAAGTGAACCAGCCAACAGCCAACCGCCAACAGCCATTTGCCAAACAAGGCCAAATTTTACTGGTGCTTATGATGGATAAATTTTACTCTCATTTTACTCATTCCACTTTTTTCGCTTTTATCTCAGCCTAAAGGCCGTAAATCTTTCTTTAATGGCGGGTTTTATTATATTCTGAAAAATTTATCATACAAACTGCTGGAGTTGTCTTGCAAGTTTTGGCAGAAATCTTACTGTTTGGTTTTACAATGATTAGGGTTGGTGATAGAACAATTGGGTCCTTCCTCTTGTACGCATTTAAGAATAGGTATAAGGAAGTGCTTAGCAAGGCCCATACTGCTACTTATGTTGCTGCATCAAAGCCCCTAACTCTGCTAACTAAGGAAGAAACTCATTGTAAGCTTTTTTCTTCATCACTAAATACAGCATGTGCACCCCGAGCAATCATCTGAGTACTGAACCTGTTTCTCTGTGTTTGTGTAGTGTGTGATGCAGCTCAGTCCTCAATGACTGCCTTCAAGAAGTGGAGAATGGGAGGCTCTCGATTTGAAATGCCTTCTGTGCTTGGGAAGAGAAAGCCTTCTGAATAGTTTGTTGTTTCTAGCCATTGGTTTCTAGTTCTGATTTGATTCCAAGGGGGGAATAGTAGCTCCTATATCTAAGAAGATGAATTTCATCTAGTGTTGCCATTTCCCTCATTTCTCCTTCAGTTGAATGGATGTTGTGCTTCATTCAGGAAAATGCTTGCGACAAACAAGCGTGTTTTCCATGTGCTGTATTCTGTGTAGCTTAGAGAGAAGAAAGCCCTGGAAGAACCATATAACAGCCAGAAGGGATTCAATCTCATACCTTGTGGACAGGCCTGTAGTCTAAGTAACTGAGCTATTCCTATTTCTTGAGCAATTAATTTTTATATATGTTTTTTTTTTCCCATTTTTTAATTATTAATTAATGGCTAAAAAGTTACTATTTGTTACCATTGATCATGCAGATTGTACATCTTGTAGCTGTAGAATTTATTCTTGTATTGATCTCTTCCAATCTGGAGTCTGTTTATTCATGTTAGTCATAGTAGAATTTAGCAATGTGATTAGCCTACTCATTTCTCTTGTTTTCTTTTAATACTAGCTTAACTGAAGATCATATTATATGAATCCCTCCAATCCTCTATGTTGTTTTCATTACTTGGACCATAATTTTCATTACTGTAACTATAATTTTACACTGACAAAAAACAAATAAAATATTACTGTAATAAATCAAACAAGTTCTCACTCGACTATGTTTTTTTTCCTCTTAAAGATGAATCACATAATAAAATGGAAAGGCAGAAGTATGTACCATCAGGTCCATCACAACTCACTTGTCTAGAAAAAAGGATATTAAATCTTTCCCTGTAATAACAATTGCTCGTATATGTTCATTACATTTTACTATAATAACTAACACATTTAAACTTGCTTAAGTAATTTTCTTTAAAAAAATTACTACTACCTCCGAATTTTTTTAGTTGCAATTTTAGGGTATTATTTGAGAGATATAAAATATTCCAAATTTATTACTAAAAAAAATCAGAGGTAGTATTAAGAATAGAGCCTTAATCAGAAGAGATTTTACCCAAAAGATGATGTATTTGCCATTAAATTAAGCTTCACTTGATAAGAAAATCCTTAGTATGACTGTATGAGAGGTTAGAATTTAGAAGACTACTTTTTAAACAAGGAAAAAAGGACCGTTTGCCTCGAATCTCCATAGCAAAAGAAAAAGAATCAAACGGTGGGGAACCATCTAACACACACATGTCTCTATCTTTCAAAGTCGTAGACTTAAATTGCCATTTTTTTTATTTATCTCTTTTTTTTTTAATTATTATTTTTAAATAATTTATCCGTTTTTCTAATTGACACCGTTAGACTTTTACACTATTCACACAATATGCTTTGACTCGCTTTTATGGTTTATAGATACGGAGTATGATAAAACATATTCACGTGGAATCTTGTTGAATCGTTTTAATGTATATTTTATTAATATCTACTTTTTATAATTTTATCATGTTGATAATTAGAGATATTAATCATTAAAAACATGCGTTGACAATCGTGATAATAGAAAGGTGTCAGCTAAAAAAAACGGAGGAAGTTTTTTTTTTTAGATATACTCTTTTTTTTTCTTTATAATAAGCTACTAGAGTTGGGATTTTTCACTACTCATATATCATCATTGACTTAATTTTTTTAACCAATATATATATGATTATATGATATTTCGTATGTTGTTGGATTTATCATAATGTCAACTTTTATAAATTAATTTTTCATTATTTTTACTAACCTCTAATTAAAGGAATTGATGCAAAAAATAGTATTTCGACAAATGCACAGACCTAATTATAACTTAAATAATAATAAATAAATTTAAAAATTTAAAAAATAATAGAGGGAGTACCACTTTCTAAATACTACACATGTATGATTGTATTAAACTAGATGCATCATTTTGAAAGTTAATAAATTTACTATTTTTTTTCTTTGTAATCTCATATTATATAGATCCTCTTTTTTCCTTCTTAGGGTCTGTTCTCTTCACATTATTTTTAGTTCAATTCTATTTATTTCCAATAAGTTAAGTTAAGTTCAGTTTTAAATTTTTTTCTTTCATAAAATATTCAGTTCGGTTCAATTCAGTTCAGCCTCAATAAGTTCAGTTCAGTTCAACTTAATTCAGTCAATTAGACACAGGCCCTAGTAATACGCCTATAATTACAAATACAAATTTAATAATGGTATCTAAATCGGTTAAAATGTTGCGATTATTATGAGACCGGACGACGGAAAGTATTTCAAACACACCCAATCTCACGTGACACATAACGGGGCCCAGTCTACCCCTATCATCCTTAACGGAGGTTTGCCAGTTAGTCAGAGAGTAGCGGGAACCCGTTTTGACTGTCTTCGGGCAGCGGTCAGCTTCCCCTTTTCCCGTTTCGGGCAGCCCTCCAGCCTACCTGCACGCCTTCACTCATTCCTCTCACTCCCCTTTTTCCCCCATTTTCTCTCTCCTCCTTTCTAGAGAGAGAAGCTTAAACTAACCTTTTCTTGCATTGTTTGTTTCTTAGATAGAGTTTTTTAGAGAGAGAAACTGATTTTTTTAGAGATAGAAACTGGGAAAAGGTGTACAGTGTAAAAGGTCTTGGAATGTGAGATTATTAACATAGAGAGAGAAAATAAAGTTGAAATTTTTGCTCAAAGGAAGGGAAAGTAGTTTGGTTGCTCTTAAACTATGGAATGTTGCTTTTAATGGGTTTTGTTTGATTTTTGAGATCAAGTTTTTGTTTGATTTTTCTGGGTTTTTTTTTTTTTTTTTTTTTTTTTTGAAATTTTTGTATTTGGTTGACAATGGTGGAATTGGGGATTGTTCTTCATTTGGGGTTTTAGGGTTTTTTTTAAGTTTGATTTTTTATGGTTTGAGAATGTTGGGTTTTTGGATCTGAGCTGAGGTGAATTCTGAAGTTGTACAAGAATCATGTGGGTGGAGGTGTTAGCTTCTCTTTTGTATATTTTTCTCGCATTCAAATTCACTTCTGCTAATGTGGAAGGTATTTTGTTCTCTTTTTTAGTTTTTTTTTTATTTTTATTTTTTTGCAGCTGAATTTTTCTGGTTTATGTTAAAATCTGTCAAATTTGATAAATTAAGTTTCTAATTTTATGGATTTTGTGTAATTTTCTGGTTTTGTATGCTTTTTTATGTTGTTTGTTTGAATGGTGTGGAGTGTTGCATATAAGAATTTGTGTTTGCTTAGTTAGGGAATTTTGTTTGAATGTCACTTTAATCAATTGATGGTTAAAAGTCCTTAAATTGACTTGCTAAAATTTGAATTTATATGGGACTTTTTTTGTTCAGTTTATAGTTGAGGTGGTCCCTCAATCAGCTTGTTGGGTATTTGATGGTTTGTGAATTGTCAAAGATTGAAGTTAGAAAGCTGGTTATGACTTCTTGCTTTGCTGATCATTGTTTAGTTTTTGCGAATAGCTCACCTTGACTTCTTATGGACCGAAAGTGACGAGTACAATGTGGACTCACTTGTTGTCTTTGATTTTCTTTGAAGTACCTTGTTTCGTCCCTTGGACGAAGTAATAGTACATGATGCTTGGATTTCCATATATGGTCCTTTAATTCACTCGTGTGTTGACCTTTCTTCTTGGGTGTGATGGGTTTGTGTACTGGTATGGTGTTGACTTATCGTGTTTCCGGGGCTATTGGAGAATTAAGAGTTCCTTTTGACTTTAGGACAGTGTGTTATACATCATTGTGAGTTCTATATAGGCATATATAACTGTTTCTAGTTGTTTGTTGTTAATGTGATTTAGGGGGTTTTGCATTCTCTCTGCTCATATCTTTGTCAACATCCATCAAAGATCATTGAAATAAAGTGGCAATTTCAAAAGGGAAGGTTGTGGCTTGTGAGCAGTGGGGCTGGGTTTCACTTGATTAACATTGAGTTCAATGGTTTATTTATTTGTCATGTCATCATGAAATGGACTTGTAACCATCATTTGTTTACACCTCTCTTTATCAGCTACTTGTTATCAATGCCCATTTTCATTACTATATATGTCACTTAACTGAATTTTATATGTTTGTTGCTCTTATTGCTTGTGCTTTTGTAGTATATATTTCTGGCTCTTTAGGTGCAATTCTAATACTTCGTACCATACAAATGACTGAAATTGTATGCTTATTTTGAACTTTCTCAATTAATTGAACAGGGGATGCTCTTCATAGTTTGAGAAACAACCTAGATGACCCTTTCAATGTATTGCAAAGCTGGGATCCCACCCTTGTAAATCCCTGTACATGGTTTCACGTCACTTGTAACCCAGATAACAGTGTTATAAGAGTGTAAGTACCCACCTTACATGGTTGTGCTTGGTATAATTCACGCTTCCATCCTAGATTTTACAAATTAAAATCTATTATCTTACATCATTTTCTCTTCTGCGTTTGCTCAGAGATCTAGGAAATGCTGCATTGTCAGGTCAACTGGTTCCAGCTCTTGGCTCACTTAAAAATCTTCAATACTTGTAAGTCATAACTTGTACTTTAGACAGAAGCTTTCTTCTTTTTATCATATATTGGAGCTTTGTTCTGCTGATATTAGCTATGTATATTATACCATGATAGTTGCATGATCTTTTATTTATTCTGTTATTACTCATACAGTCATACATATTATGATGACATCAGCTGTGATTATGATTGACATTCATTGGTATGTTTTCTCATGGAATTTTAAATAGAGCCTAACTTTGAATGCCAAACTGCCAATAACTGGTTTACAACATCACGTTGAAGTTGGAAAACGTAGCCAGAAGTTTTTTTAAAAAAATGTGTATAAAGAGATTTTAATCTTGTCATCTATGTTTGTTTGTGTTGGCCTCACACTAGGTGTATGAGTGTGGTGTTTGGAGGCATCATCCAAATATGTGAACTGCTGTAAGTTTGTAACAATTTACTGTAAATCAGGAAATTGGGTTATGGGACTGGTTTAAATTTTCAGCTTGGATGGGTTTATACTTTTTACCGTCAACTAAAGGACTTTTTATGGACTTCTGTCGCTAGTTGAGCTGGATGGGCATAGTGTTAAAGGGTGACCCACAAACTAAAGAGTGGCTAACCACAAACATAGAAGCTTTGATGGGGGAAGAATTAGAAAATCAGCGACCACATTTCTGTTGGAATTATCTTTCCACTGGAGCTCAAGCTCAAAGGACCTATAAAATAGTCAGCTCTCCTATGTAATGCCAATGTTTTAATAGGCGTTGTCTATATCTGGGTTGAAAGAGAACCTTGATACAAAAGCTAGAGGTGTGGGTGAATTCACAAAAAAGGCTTATAATATAAAACCACATTTATAGTGTAGCCATTTAAGTTTTTCAAAGTACACCTTTTACATGTGTACTTTGAAAAAAGAAAAATAAAGGTAATAACTGCATTTTTTTTTTTCAAATTTTAGAGTATTAAGATCTTTGTAATGATCATAGAAGTTGTGAAGTTATTCCCAAACCTGACTCTCATGTTATTGATTTAAAAGAACCTCTCTATAGCTCTATAGTGAAGTGAACCCCAAAATAAGTCAACCATTGATGGCCATGAGTCTGCTCATTCAGGTACACATTCAAAAGGTTGGGGATAAATTCAATAGCTATTTGGCATAGCTATTATGTGTTCTTGGGTAGTTGGGTGTAAATATGATAGTCACAAAAGAAACTCTCCAATCCTTGATGACTAGACAAGTGAAGTGCAAGTGTCCCAAAGTTAGTGTAAATGCAAGACTGGTGAAGGACAATATAATGAAGAGGGAAAAAGATCAAAGTTTAAACACATTAACCTGTATATGTGTATCCAAGGTTATAGTGTCTACCAAGATTTGAACCATTCAATTGCAATGTACAATGGCTGACCATCTAAGCTATGCTATTCTTGTATTTGTTTAATCAAACTAACCATTATTATTCTATATTTGAAAGGTAAATATTGTTTTTAAAAAATAAATAGAACAACAAAATTTTAAACATTGATTAACAAATGCATAAATACTTTATCATTGTTATCCTTTAAATTAAGTCTCATATTACAATTATTTGGGCATCGGGGCCATTGAGTAGTCTTGTGAGCTGAATGCCATTATTATACTGTGTAGTGGAAGGCAGACTGGCTTGCTTAAACAAAGTTGGGATAAAGCCTTCACTAAAAATGCATGGGGAACCTATATATTGGGATTTCTAATTATGTTGGATAACATTGCATAGGTTGAAGGATTTCTAATTATATTGGGATTTCTAATCCTTGAGCCTGGTTTGATGGGAAATCAACTGAATTATTATTGCTTTTGCGCTTTTAATATGAATCAGGCACAAATTTAATTGTTTTCTGGTTCATTGGAACGTGACTTTTATCATGTACTTATTCGAGTATGTTTTTTATTCTTAGGGAACTGTACAGTAACAATATCAGTGGGCCAATACCTAGTGAGCTGGGCAATCTGACAAACTTGGTCAGTTTGGATCTCTATTTGAACAGTTTCAGCGGTCCAATTCCCGAGTCTTTGGGCAGGCTATCAAAGTTGCGCTTTCTGTATGTATACCAATCTCTTGCCTGACTTTATTTTGTACAAGAAGACTATACCTTCTTTGCCTTTGACAGTTATATTGATATGTACCTGTGTTGAATTTCTGCGTGACCTTATGATCTTATGTTATCTGTCTGCTAGTTGATTTGGCTTTTGCAGTTGCTCTTGCTTAATTTATTATGGCTGGTGATGAATTATTGACTGAGTGTTGAAGAAGTGTTTCTTAATGCTAGAGATTTGTCCTGGTTTTAATATGATTTTACATTTTAACAATGTTGTTCATAATAGTAAGTTTGATGAACTGATGACAATTACCTTATTTTATGAGACCATCAGCAGTTCGAGGTCTCATTAATGGTCTCTGATCTTGTTTTGGTGTTTATTCTTACCATTTTCTTCCTCCTCTCTATTCACTAGCTTTTCTCGCTTGATTTGATGATTTAAGGTTCTATTTTGCACTAGTTGCATTTGAAAGTCAAATTCTTTGCCTGTCAAATAATCTTCACATCTTCTTGTTAAAGCAAACTTGAGGTTTGGAATTGGATGGTTGAAACTCTTGAATGAGTAGTGAGAGAAGAGGGGGCAAGGCAGAGTGTGATGGGTCATGGGAACTAATCATTGTGGACTCTTAGGATCTCCTATGGGGGGCATCTTATATGTGAAGGAGACCCTTTAGTGGTTCTATCAGTTTTAGTTGTGGAGGGATAAGAGACAAGTGAGGTTGGTGTGCTAATTTATTGGCTTTCTTTTCAGTTTCTTTGCCAGAAGTATAAAATATATTGATGTGAGTGAAATGCAAGCCAAGTTGCAGTAGTTGGACAGATTTTTTTTTTTTTTTCCTTCTCTCTTAATTATTTCATTTCAAGGTTGTAAAGTGATAGAGAAGCTGCGGAAAAGAGCCAAAACAAGGACCAAACATATGTCTGATAATTTTGTAACATTTGAGCTGTACAATTATTTTCTGCATAATTTAACGGAACTCTTCTAGGATACTTCCTGTGTATGTATTTTTTGACATGAAAAGAATTCATATGACTCAGGACATTGGACATTACTTGACTCAAATTTGCTTCCAAGAGTGTTGCTAGTGAAGTTTGCTTTTGGATTTTGTACTTTGAATATTAGATCTGTTAAATTAGAGTGCATCTCAGTTGATTGAAGAACTATAAGGTCCTAACATTTTATTTTAATTTTGAAATTTCTGTGCAAGGATAGTCGGCTAAACAACAATAGTCTGACAGGCCCCATTCCTATGTCCTTGACAAATATCACCTCGTTGCAGGTCTTGTAAGTTTCTTTGTACTTTCACTTAGTTGGTCTAGTCTTATTGTCCCTGTTACTCAGTTTTTATGAATTTTTGAGACATGGAATCCTTTCTTTGATCAGGGATCTATCAAACAACCGTCTTTCGGGAGCTGTTCCAGACAATGGTTCCTTTTCCTTGTTTACGCCAATAAGGTCTGTTTGGATGTGAATTTATGTGGAATAGACATCAATATTGTTGGACTTCTAATATTTTCTTTTTGTAATTGCAGTTTTGCTAATAACTTAAATCTATGCGGTCCTGTCACTGGGAGGCCATGTCCTGGATCTCCACCTTTTTCACCACCGCCTCCTTTCATACCACCACCACCAATTAATAATCAAGGCAGGTTCTTGCTCTGAATCAGAAACCAATTAGTTATGGATTTCCATTTCTTGATTGATAGACATCACTTCTACCTTGGTTCTTTGAATGAGCTCATGCATCTTGATAGTACTCTGTGGGTATATCATTTATGTTGTCGTTAACTGTAGTCTTAGCTCATAGGAAGGCTGCTACTTGCTGTGGTTTTGTTTGTGAACTGAATTCTTCTTTAGTGCTAATGCATTGTTACTCAGTTGTAGGTGATTTGATTCATCTACTTGCCCACACTTCTACTTATCGGATATAGCTCTGAGTTTGTTATGATGTACTATGCCCTTATTGATTCTTCATCGTTTGGATTTTTAGGTGGTGTCAGTGCCACGGGAGCAATTGCTGGTGGAGTGGCTGCTGGTGCTGCTTTACTGTTCGCTGCCCCTGCTATATTATTTGCCTGGTGGCGGCGTAGGAAGCCTCAAGAGTATTTCTTTGATGTCCCTGGTAAGTCCTCAAAGTTTTCAACCTTTTATTTAGGCTCACATTAAAAGTTGCCATCACCTACCATAAATATACTTATTGCTTCCATTCTGCAGCTGAGGAGGATCCGGAAGTACATCTGGGGCAGCTTAAAAGATTCTCTTTACGAGAACTGCAGGTCGCTACTGATAGTTTTAGCAACAAAAACATACTTGGGAGAGGAGGATTTGGTAAGGTGTATAAAGGACGCCTTGCTGATGGATCATTAGTTGCTGTAAAACGTTTGAAGGAAGAACGTACTCCTGGTGGTGAGCTGCAATTTCAAACAGAAGTGGAAATGATCAGCATGGCTGTGCATCGAAACTTGCTCCGGTTGCGTGGATTTTGTATGACACCAACAGAACGGTTGCTTGTTTACCCCTATATGGCTAACGGGAGTGTTGCCTCCTGTTTACGAGGTAATGCAATCTGGTGTGCTATTGCTCTTTCAAATAATATGTTCATTTCCCTGATTGCGATTCAGTCAACAACCTTTTCTTTGTGGTGGGTTGGGGGGTTGGGTTGGAGGATGGAAGTGTGGTAGTGGGAAATAAACCATATCTGACTGGTAGTTTATTTTTGTTTGGGTTATATCTGATCTTATTACTGACATTAACATTGTTTCTTGTCAGAACGTCCACCAAATGAACCGCCACTGGATTGGCCTACACGCAAACGAATTGCATTAGGATCTGCAAGAGGACTTTCCTATTTACATGACCATTGTGACCCAAAGATCATTCATCGAGATGTAAAAGCTGCCAATATATTATTGGATGAGGAATTTGAAGCAGTTGTTGGTGACTTTGGCCTGGCTAAGCTGATGGACTACAAGGACACTCACGTGACTACAGCTGTACGTGGGACCATAGGACACATAGCTCCTGAATACCTGTCTACTGGAAAATCTTCAGAAAAAACAGATGTTTTTGGTTATGGTATAATGCTTCTGGAATTAATCACTGGACAGAGGGCTTTCGATCTTGCTCGACTTGCGAATGATGATGATGTCATGTTACTTGATTGGGTATGCCACTTGCAACTTTTGGTAGATTATTAGTGGAATTTGACTATATATCTTTAGTTCATGATGTAAAAAAAAAAAAAAAATCCAAGTTTTTATGCACTCATTAATCTGGCTGTTTCATCAACTAATGACTCCACAGGTTAAAGGACTTCTCAAAGAAAAGAAATTAGAAATGCTTGTTGATCCCGACCTTCAAAATAATTACATTGAGGCAGAGGTGGAGCAGCTTATTCAAGTTGCGCTTCTCTGCACACAGGGCAACCCTTTGGAACGACCCAAAATGTCAGAGGTAGTAAGGATGCTTGAAGGTGATGGTTTGGCCGAGAGGTGGGATGAATGGCAAAAGGTGGAAGTTCTTCGGCAAGAGGTGGATTTAGCTCCTCACTCTAACTCAGATTGGATCGTCGATTCAACTGACAATCTGCATGCAGTTGAATTATCTGGTCCTAGATGAATGCCACTCCCAAGTGACAGAATCAAAAAGAAATTAATTTAATTAACTCCTTTTTTTCATTATATTTATTATTATTATTATTATAATTTTTGTTTTTCTCTTCATCTTTAGGCGTGTTCTTGTAACTGGGAAGTCGTCCCGAGTGCCTATTTTTTTGGGGCTACATATTTATTTGTGTATATGGACATGGACCTGTTTTGGAGGGGCAATTTCACTGGAGATTGCATATTGTTTATGGGACTATTTTGTGACCATCTGACAGAAGTGATCAATTAAAAGTAGATTCAACAACTTCTGTTATAAATTCTTGCATGGACACAAAATTTGGGTTGTGACAAAACCTTGCCATTCATACACAAATATGCAAACGCTTCTAACTCAATAGAAGACTATCCTAACTTGAATCCGTTTAAGTAGTGCAAGAACTTGAATACCTTAGTTGAAGGTCTTTTTGAATTGTCTTTTAGGTTCTGTTCACTTCAGCTTAATCTCAGTTCAGCCCATCTCAACTCTAATCAGTTTAGTTTAGTTTAGTTCACTTCAGCTCCTAATTTCCATCTCTCATAAAATATTCATTTTAGCTCTATTCAGTTCAGTCAGCTTAGCTTAATTCAGTAAATGTGAACAGACCATTAGTGCTTTATGTGAGATAAAAGTGGCATAAAACATTGATAACAATAAGAAAAATAAAATTAAATGTAGAGGTAAAGTTAATATGTTGAGTCTTACTCTTTTCAAAATTCTTTGTATTTTGCCTTTGGCACTAGCAACCTAATGGAATAAATTCCTTGCATCGTGCCTTTTGCAGTTTTGCACGGTGTTTTAGGATTTGTTCTTATTACAAAAGGTATACTCCGTAATAAGTTGATATATGAACATATATATTGAGAGTTTGAGAGTTGAGAAATTGAGACTGAATCTATCAAGAATTTTATATGACCAATTTTCCATGGATATTGTTGTATTAATCATAAAAAATAGTATGTAAATATCGTAAAGAGATATTATTGTGAAATTATATCTCATATAAATAAATGACAATGTTTTGCTTAAAATCGGACTAAGTGTGTGAGTCTAATATATCTAACATTAATAATTTAATATCTGACATTAAATAATTTAATATTTGACATTAATAATTTAATATGACATTAATAATCTGATAATCTAATGTCTGATATAGATTATTAATGTCTGATATATTGGACTCGCCGTGAGTTCGACAGTCCGACTCACCCAATTTTTTTTTCGTGAATCAATATACATTCATATCTCAATAGTATGTTGGGTCATGTATTACCTTATTTCAGACAAAGAAAACAAAAACAAAGGGCTTGTTTGACATTGTTTTTTGTTTTCTGTTTTTTCTAAAACAAAAAACCAAAATTAGAAAACAAGAAAAAGGTATTTCCAATTTTTTTATTGTCAGTTTTCATAATTATCATGATTTTAATAAGTTTGACTAATTTCTTATTCATTATATGACATATATCATATGATTTTGAAAAAAAAAAAAAACCAAAAAACAAAAACCACAATGATACCAAACTTTTAATTTATTCCATTTTCATGGGAATAATAGCCTATATAAAACAATTTTGCATTTTCGGTGTGTATTGAAATCTCCTTGTCTATTTGTCTTATCTAGTTCGGAAGAAGAAGAGTGTTGTAATTTAGCAACTTTATAATAAAAATCCAAAAGTATATTATATCATAAATGTAACATGTTAATCTGGAAATGACTTGATGCAGGAACTCATAACTTTGACACACATTTATGCACTTGTTGGACTCACCAATTGAATATTTGAATAAATTATCTTCTTAAATTAAGAATCTTAACTCTTACTATAAAGTCTATAATATATGGTTATATTTATATATAGGTAGTTGATAGGAGTTAGCTGCAAAAAGACAATGTATAAACCTCCATGCAGTTAAATGTCAATGTAACATACTCCCTGAAATACTAGTTGGTTTATTAGGTTGCTAATTTAATATTATTATCAGTTTGCAAATATAAATTAAACTTTATCATGATCCTAATAAGAGTATCTTATATAGTATTGTCATTGTAGATTTAATGCAATGATATAGTTATACGTTATTTCAAGACTTTTTCAAATGATACTCTATCAATATAATTTCAAATAATTAAAAATTGCATATCATCAATATATCGTGTCCTTAAAAATCAATATTTGTAGGGTTTTTTTATTCACTTTAAATTGATCAAAATTTAATTCACAATTCTCTTTTTCTGTTCTTTTGATCCACCAAAATTTTAATATCTTCTAGCAAAAACTTTATGTATGCCTTAAAACAATTAAACACTAGTACATCACTATATGTGTACTATTAATAGTATTCACCTTCAATTCATAAAATTTATGCATATAAAATTTTATTTGGGACTAATTATTTATTTTAAAATTGTACAAAATTGTGCATTGTTTATATATTTTTTTTTAAATATAAATACATAGTACTGTAGAGTTATTTTAAGTTTCAGTTTCTTGAAGAGTTTATTTTTGACATGTTTCTAAACCAGTAAACCGTTTAGGAGGTTATGTAAAATGATGTTTGAGTCAAAGTGTCAACATGATCTAGCTAGGAAGAATTTGTGTAAAACTTAAAATATACGGAATATTAAATAAAGTACGCAAAGTTAATTAAGATTCAATACGTAATTTATTGATTAAACTTATTAGTACGTGGTATGCATTGGTGTTTGTTTTCAGTTTGCTGTTGTTAGTTTTCAAAATTATTATGAATTTAATAAATTTAACTAATTTTTTATTCGTTATGTAACATACATCCTATGAATCTGGAAAAAAAAAAAATCACAATGATGTCAAACGAATACCTATTGATTTTATTATTTTACGAAGATTATACTCTCTTCATCCACAAATAAAATAAGTTCGCCCATATCTTTTTGTGTGACGACTTAATGTAGATCTGAAGTATCCCAATTTTCTTTTCATTAAAAACAAAAATGTAGATCATGAGGTACTAGTAAATGTGAAATACTGAAATCCATTAAAATACAATTGAGAAAGAGTCTTTAGTTTTAGTTGACTGCCAACAAATTCATATCAACAGCTGTTCTATATTAAAAAAAAAAAAAAAAAAAAAAAAAAAAAAAAAAAAAAAAAAAAAAAAAAAAAACTTTCATTGAATCTATGTTACTCCATTATTTAAAAAATAAAAATAGAAGGCAATAACCATATAACTGAGATAGTGTAACATATAAAAATGATATTACCATAAACATTAAATAACACTGTCTGAATATACCTACCATATCATAAATCCTCATTTATAGCATTTAGACAAACACAAACAACAATCCATCTAAAAAAAAAGAAAGAAGAAAAAACTCAACAAAAAAACATGGAAGAAGAGAAACAACAACAACAACAACAAAACTTTGGTAATTATTATCTTAGTAACATGTTGTTACAAGGTCCTTGTGAATTTCTTGATGAATTAGTATCAACAATTCTTAGATGTTTAGGCCTTCAACAAGATCATTCTCCTCCTCCTACACCTCCTACTACGACTACAACGGATGATGATGTTGTTGCTGCTTGTACTGATGTTACTACGACTATTCCGAGTTCATCCTCAACTACCGTGATCGACAACGATAGTGGTGGTGAAGATGGGGGTGAAGAGACAACAATAAGTACTAGTGTTGGTTCAAGTGGAGTTATTGTGATTGTTCCGAGTTCAACGCCTTTGATGGATAATGGTGAAAAAGGAGAAGATGAGACGACTTGTCCGACTCCGGAAACACCAGATGTAGGTGGTGGTGGTGGCGATGATGGTGGTGATGACGGTGGTGGAAGTGCAGGAGGAGGGGGTGATTATTTTCCACCTACAGACACTGTAAGTCCACTTAATTTATTCTTTTTCTTTAATTTCTATATGAATTTATTTAATAGTATCATAGTAGTATATGCAACCCTATTATTAGGCTAATATACTGGACTATTTGACGATTTGATGGTATACATATGATTCTTCAATTTATTTCTCCCATTATTATTGTTTTATAATTAACCAAGTTACCAAGTAGTGATTCCTCATCTTTAATAATTATTATAATTGTACTGTACATCTAAGGGTAACAATGAATTTAAATACTAGTTTTTTTTTTTTTTTTTTTTTTTTTTTCGGGGAGGGGGTGGGGGGTTGTGGTTGTTGTGGTTAATTGAAACCAGCAATTGATTGAATAAACACAATAAAATAAAAGAATAAAACTAGAGTTTAAATGGTTGTGTATAAAATTTTAATTAGCTTTTTTTTTTTTTTTTGAAAGCAAAATTTTAGTTAGCTTCATAATTACTAGATTGATCCCAAGCCATGCTCGGTTTTGTAAATTATTGACAATTGAAATATAAAAGTTTCTAGAGAAATATAACATAATAGTTAATTATGAAAAATAAAATATATATATAATGAATTTCCTTTGCAAATTAATGTTTCAATAAAAAAAAAATAGTGTAAATTTCCCTCTAAAAAAAACTCCAATTTAATATAAAGTAATGGATTTTTTTAATTTTTTTTTTCATTTTTTAATATGATTTGAGAGCGAGGGAAGAATAAAAAAATTTAATGGTCCTAATTAATGTCTTATGGAAGCTTGTTTCAAAAAAAAAAAAACTTATGAAGATGAACACATTTATTTTTCCCAAATGCATAATTGTAAAGTACATACTTTTTTTCTTTTTTTTTAAGAAGCTAAGTAATAAGAAAAAGTGAAAAAAAAAAAAGCATTATTAGTTTATTACTCATCTTATTCTCATATTTGAACGTTTTGGTACAAATACTATATTACTAAAAGGCATCAAGAGGTTTACTAGATCCTCTCCAATGGTGAGACTCAAGTGAGTATTTTTAGGAGAGAGATAGAGTATTTTTTGCAATGTATACCAATAAGTTGGTATCTAAATTTAGGGTCTGTTCTTATTGACTGAACTGAACTGAACTTATTAATTAGTGATTTTTAACTACGGATTAGTGATCTTTGATTATTTATTGATTATTTATTATTATACATATGTGTATATACAAATATACATATTAAAATATTTAAGAAAAATATACTATTATTGTTATTATTATTTTTTTATTATTATTATTATTTTATTATTATTATTATTATTATTTTTATTATTATATATTGATTATTATTATTATTATTATTATTATTATTATTATTATTATTATTATTATTATCGTTGTAATAAGAGCTTAAAAGAATGAAATTTGGCTTTATATCATTAGCAATATCATTACACATGAGCTGAGCTGAACTGAACTGAACTGATTTGAACTGAACTGAACTGAGCTAAACTGAGTTGAACGGAACTGAACTGAAATTCAACGTATGAGAACAAACCCTTAGTAACTCCTAAAGAAAGTTGCTAAGTTTGGATATTCAACTTTGAGTCTCATTTGATAAAAAGTGTGGGCCCTTGTTAATATTCTAATATATTTTGTAATTTATTTAAGTTTTACCTTTTTTTTAATTATTTTTTAATCCTATAATAATTAATGGGTCATAAATTAAAAGTGACATTTGTATATTTTAGAGAGTCTCACCATTGAGAATTTAGACTTCATGAGTTGCTAAATTAAGAAGTGGGTATGGTATCACCATTAAGGGTAAAAAAAACAACTCATTCTATATTTTGATACTCAAACTTGAGTCTCACCATTGGAGATGGTCTTATAGGTTATTTATTAATCCACTATTATTATCACTACCAGATTGTACTCGTGTTTATGCACCATACAAGACAAATTAAAGTAAATCATAGTACATATATTTTTTTTTTTAAAAAAAACATCTTGACAATAATATATAGTATGCAGAGAGAGTGAGGGATAGCTCAAGTGGTTAGAGCTCCCCTCCCGGTCTCAGGTGATCCTGTGATCGATTTTCATCACAAAAAAAAATTATATAGTATGGAAAAGTTATTGGCCGGGAAAGTATATCCAAAAAGAAAAATATGGAGATAGATGTTACATTGCAAGATCGATTTATTTTATTAAAAAAATAAAACAAATATTTAGACCCATGGATTTTGAGCATGGATGATTTAGAATAGTGGTTGAAAGTTAAAAAAAAAAAGACTCTAGAATGAATATGTAGATTATTGTTGTTTTTGGTTTTTTTTTTAAAAAAAAAATTATTGTTTTTTTTTTTTTATTTTTTGCTAAAATAAAGCAGTTTTAAAAAATTATCTTTAATCATGACAGGATTGATCATGATTCATGAATATTGAAATGGTTGAGATTGAAAAAAGTTACAATGACTACGGAGTACAATTTTTTAAGTAGCCATTGAAAAGTCTTCCCTTTACACCTGTAGAATCAATTTAATTTTACATTAACTGATTTGACTCTTTATAATTACTATTTGTAAGAAGTAGAATATACTCTGTATTATAACAACTTTATAACTAACACTTTGTTTAAATAAAATGTGCAGGAGGGAGGCTTAGTGCCGCAACCAAAGCAGAGTAGAATCAGGGTTCCACCAAGGCCTGGAGTTAGTACTGGAAAAGGAGGTCAAACTCACTAAACTAACTACTACGACTACGAGTACGTACGTACCTACAAGTTTCTCTTCGTGCCACAAACTTTCATATGTGTCTTTCCCAGCTCAATAATTTCGTGATATCCTTGGGAGCACCGTGCCCTAACCTCTCTTGTAGGTGTGTAATGTTCGATTAAAAAAAAAAAAACATAATCTCGTAAAAACTTGGCATCATCAGTTATTAATTGAGACAAAATGATGCAGTAGTTCATCATATTTTTATTTTCAGTTGTGCGTGTGAATAGTGAATTATGGCTTGTGAGTGTGTATATGATCTGATGATGATATGCAGAGATTATATTCAAGGACAACCCCTACCCAAAAATATTGTGTAGTTATCAGTTATGTGTGAGATTTATCGAAATTTATACTTCGTAAGTTCGTATGTGTTACCAACTAAGTTAAATTTTTAGCTTGTTTAATTTAATGTAGGAATCCCGTCAAAAAAAAAAATTTATGTAGGAGTACTCTGATGAACTTGTACATAGCTAATTCCATAGATTATACTATTTGATAAACTCGCTCATTTACCTTACCTAATCATTTAAAAAAAAAAAAAACGGAAGAAGTATGTGTGTTCCATAGATTATACTGTGTGCTTAAAAGGTATGTTGCAACTTGCAAGTAAAAAAAACAAAAAAAAAAGAAGAAATATGTGTATAAGATTAATTATATTGGCAATATTTTTATACCAAAGTATTATTTATTGATATAATAACGTCATGTCAGGTAAAAGTGGCTAAAAACGAATTTTGGTTGTACTTTAAAATGTTTGGGTGACTTTTTTTTTGTTGTAATTTGCAAAAATTGGCTTTGATGGGTGTAACACACAAAATGAATACTTTTATTGGTTATAGAATTTTATTATTCTAATTGTGCATTGGTAAAATAATTATTAGTATAATTTTTTTGAATAAATCAATTCATTAATAAGAAAGGACTTCTGACATCAGACATCTACAAATGAAATTTAAATTAACAGATACATAAAATTGAATCAATTAAAGGTTTCCTTCATCAAAACTATGATCATTGAAAAGATCTTACACTATGGTATATCCCTTGCACTCATCACTGAAATAGGTAGCCTTTTTGGATACACGGTCTAACGATTTGTTGTATCCGCAAGAATGATTATTATATGATTCACTTGAACGTATTTAAGAATTGGACAACCGTAACGATTCAAAACAAATTTTTACCATGATAATAGGGCAAAAGATGATTACGTTTTTTTTATAAGCTCTAGCACACAAATAAACCCTAACGAAAAACAAACAACTGTTCGTTTGACATCACTGTGGTTTTCTGTTTTTTGGTTTTTTGTTTTTCAAAATCATATAATATATGTCATATAATGAATCAAAAATTATTCAAACTTGTTAAGATCGTGATAATTTTGAAAATTGACAACACAAAAGTGAAAACACCCTTTTCTTATTTTTTGTTTTTGGTTTTTTGTTTTTTTTTTTAAAAAAAAAAAACTAAAAACTAAAAATAAAAAATGATGCCAAACAAGCCCAACTAACAAAAATTAACGATTTCAGGTCATCATAGGAAGATACACCACCACAGGGAGATGGACGAATATCGATTTATACTGGTGTAGATTTTTATTGAAACCTTAAATGCAACGCTATAGAAAAACAAGAAAAAAAAAGAAAAAAGGGGGCAAAAATTGTCTAATTTCTAGATGAAAAGAGGAGAGAGGAAGGGACTTTTTTATTTTTTTTTCTCTTTTTTCTAGGATTATTTTATATTATTAAACTAGAAAATTATATTAAGGGGGCAAACATATCTATTTGTATCCATATTTTAACTACATAACATGGGTTTTTGCAGAAATTAAATTTATCATGCATAACGACCTCCGACAATTTGATGACCCTGTTCTAACTATAAAAATTAGGTCCTTAAATTTGTAAAGGACTATTTTTAAAGGTTAAAAATATTATTAATATAAAATGACTTTTTTCGTTAATAAAAGTCTTTTTTTAGTACATTACTTCAAATTATAGAGGAAAATATTCATCATTTTATTAAGTTTAATAATAATTTAATAAAACAACAAATAAAAATGTTTTATTTAAAAAATGTCATCCTTCTAACATTCTTTGAAGCAAAATCCGTAATTATATCTTCATAATTTTTTTTTGAAATAATATCTTCATAATCATTTAGGATGATTTTTTGGGTTTTAGTTTGGAAACAGTGGTCTTTTACGGGGAAGAAGGTGAACAGATAAATTATGATTTTTATTTTTTTAATGAGTCAGCATTTTTAAAAATAAAAAATAAAAATTATGGGGCCATAATTTTTAGGGATCTTGTTTTGTGAGTGAGAAAAAACATGTTTAAAGCCAAGCCTGATAATGACCTTCAACCATTACAATTGATGGCACTAGGTTAAGAATCCTAGGATGTAAACGTAATATTTTTGCACCAAAAACTGAAGTATATAAATAAAAACAAATTAAATAATAATGACCAAACAAATAATATAAGTAATAAAACAAAATTGTTCCAATAAGCTAAGCAAAAAAAAGAATATACTACGTAATTAAAGTTTCACAACAACAAAACCGGGACGAGTAGCAAGAGGAGGAGGCTCGGGACCGCGATGTTGTGCAGCTTCTTGATAATTATCGACTGGTAATTGGAAGACCCAAACTTGAACTATGTCTCCAACCTTAAGATTATTATTACTGCTTAAAAAAAAATTATTCCAATTTTTTCCATTCAGAACATACCAGTCGAGGCTTTCCCACTCGGTGAAATTTAGCTGGCTTACGATCAAATTACAGTTGAGTTGTATTACATCTACTGTCACGTTTTTACCAATATAATCTAGATTTACGTCACATCTATTTTTGGGCATTGACAACCGGTGCATATTCTTATTTAAATCAGAGTCACTCAACTCCCTTTGGATCACAAATTTAATATCAAACCCGCCCAACTCATTAATTTTTTGTCTGACTCGATCTGGTAGTTGAGGTCGTTCTTGTGGTAGAGCCTTCTTAGCATGCAAGGGACAACTAGTATCACCTTGATTACGATGAGGTTGAACTTGTGGTGAAACAACTTTAACCGCCGTTAATATTTCTTTCTTTTTCTTCTCATGGTCAAAAGCCTTCTCACAAACATCAACCAAACAATCAAACGGAGAACGATGAGTACCATCTAACTTATTAACTTCTTATAATCTTCTTCGCTTATTATATCCATCCTAAAATAATAATTCTCTAGTGTTTGACTCAAGTTGCTTGGTGTTATCACAGGATTAAGAGTTTTTTTTTGTAATGAAAGGTTTCTTAGAATTTAGATGGAAGTTAAATCAGTTTAATTTATAGATATTCGATTATTTTTAGAAAACGTAATCCGAATCAAATTATATACTACGTATTTGACTATTTACAATAGGATTTGTGTATGAAACTATTTTTTTTTTTTTTTGAAAAAAGATAAAAATTTATAAGATAAAAGTTTATAAGATAGAGTAAAAAATCGCCCACTTTATTGCCTTCTTTGAGCAAATACGGAATATTAGAAATTATAAAATAAAAAAATAAAAATGAGGGAATACAAACCCCTGCCAAAACCCTAGATATGTCCTCTTTCTCTTTCCATTTCTCGCAGTTTCCCATTGGAGCGCACTCCTCCTTCTCCATTGATTCATCTATCATCCATTGAAGCAGCTTTTGAGGTATTATGTTGTTTTCTTTTTCTAATCACCAATTTTCAATTTCACATTTTAGGGTTTACCGTCAATTTAATCTTCAGTGTTCTCAATTTAGGGTTCTTCTTAATTCGATTATTCAACTATTCTTTATATTTATTAAACTCGATTTCGTTGCTTGATTTGATATTTGAATCAAATTTGCGTTTAATATTAGGTTGGAACTGTAAAATTGAACCATTTCCCCCCAAAATTATGAGCTTAATTTGATGACTGAATCAAATTTGGTTGCTAATGTGTTGCAGAGCCTTATTTACAAATGTGATTGATATCCTAATTTCGAGTTTGATTTATGTATATCTAGGGCTGTGTTTGATTCGGTTTATGTTAAATGTATTTGAATTTCGGTTATTAAGCATCCATCGCTTGAATTGATTGGCATTGTGTACTAATTTGTAATTGTTTTAAATGTAATGCAGGAAGATTAGAAGTTCTGATTATAGGAGTGTGAGATGAAAACGGTGTCGGGGAAAGTATTATCTTGTAAGCCCGTCTCTATTTCGAAAGCTGCGAAAGTTCTGTCAAAGTTTGTGTCTACAGACAATGGAGCATCCCCTGCGTTTGCTGCATATTTGAGGCGCGCTTCAGCCTCATTTAGTGAACTTGCTCAGCTTCATAAAGAGCAGAAGAGTTCAGGAAGTCGACACAAAGTTAAGAAGCAACGTTCACATAGTAGTGTCACTGAAGCGACTGTTGAGTCTGTATTGACTCAGAGTAAAGATGGGTTGCTGGGGAAGGAGTCAAGTACGAGCAAGAGGAAAGAGGTTCGAGGGGTGAATAAGAGTGAAGGAGAAGCCGGGAGTATTGAGGATGATGGGGAGACTAAGAGGCATAGGAGCAAGAACAGGGGAGAGAAAGATGAGGGGAAACATATTGCAAGGGGGAGTGCAATGAAGATGGAAGTTCCGGAAACTGATGGGATTGCGGATGGAAATGCGGAAATTGTAAGAGAGGCTGGGAAGAAGTCAAAGATAAAGAAGGAAAATAGTGAAAGTGGCGCTGTTACCATCAAAGATCAACCTTGCAGTGATTATGATGCTATCAATTCGAGTGAGTTGAAGAATAAGGAATCAAAGAAGAAGAAAAAAAGAGATAGTCTTGAGAAGGGAAAGCATGATGTTGCTGCAGATATTAAGAAGGAAGTTCTGAAAGATGAAGTCGATGAGCAAGCAATTGAGAACGAAAAAAGTCAAAGCAGCAAGAAAAAGAAACACAAGAAGGATAAACATCATGGTGATCAATCTGATCATGCTGCTGTTAATTCGACTAAGGTCAAGAATGAGGTAGAAAGTTTTGATGGAAGTAAAGATGGGAAGAAAGAAAAGAAAAGAGATAAGCGTGAAAAAGAAAAAAGTGATGATCCTTTAAATACGGAAGAGGAAAAGAAACAAAAGAAAAAACGAACTCATGAAGAAAGAGATATAGAACATGTAGGCAAGCTTGAAATTGAGGCAGCCAACAACCGACAGAGAAAGAGGAAGCACGAAAGTGTTGTAGATGAAGGGTTAGAGAATTCACAGGAGAAACATAAATCAAAGAAAAAGAAAAGATGAAGTAGACAATTAGAATACAGTGATTCTTGACATTTGTTACACCAATTTTGGCTTAAAAAAATTTAGTGAATATCTTTTGATTGTGTTCCTATTAGATAGATGACTTTAGTTGAGTTATAACCTTGTCTGAATTTTGGAACATGTCCCTCTTAGTATTATAATTTTTTTCTGAATTGTACCTTTTGCCTTGTGTTATCAATTTGTTTCAAATCAATTATTCAGCCATGTTAGCTGTCCATCAATTCATTTCAGACTGTAAACATCTATTTTTCAGGTTTGTTTTGTGAAGGGGAAACCGAGTCTACACCATTTGATATTTCTCTATTTATTTATATATACTACCTCCATTAATTGTTATCAGCAACTTTGGAGTATTATTTGAGAGATATAAAGTATTCCAAAGTTGTTGATAATAATTAACGGAGGTAGTATTAATTTTGTATAAGGTATGGAGGATCCTCACTGAATCTCAACCCTTATGTTTCTTAGTCCACCTCTTAATTGATCAGACATCCCTCCTTGGTAATATGAAATACTCTTTAGTAGTCTCTAATGCTTGAATTGCAGATTATTTGTATCCTGTTGGTAAATAATTCCAATGGGAGCAAGTTGTTGCACTTGAAATGCTGTCATAAGGTTTAATGGTATCTGAATAGAAGGTGGCATGCCTTTTAGGCCTGTTATGTAGATTAAACAATAGTTTTGTGTAGCCTGTGAACATTAAAGATGATTCATGCATAGAAAGCTAATAAACTTTCAGAATACACAGGAACTTCTAAATTGATGATGCATATTTGGCTTGTTGCATTGATGGTTTTTCTTTGTTGTTTGTTTCCAAACTAATGCTAAGTATGATTGTAATCGTCTCTGTTGCAATTTCATGCTTATTTTTACTTTTTCCAGGGTCGACTACAGATGGATCATAAGATTCTTCTCTCTTGGTTACGCCTTTTTTCTGATGCCTGGTTTTTCACTAAATTTATTCAAGGTTTTTCTGTGAAAGATTGTGCTAGAAGTATGTTGGATTTATTATCTGTGTATTGTTTGCTAGCTGAACCGTGGTAACTCCTACAGTCGTGTATAAGCACTTCGTTCAAGTTGTATCCACTGAGGTATGTGACTATATGGTGATCAACCTAGAAACAGGCATGTAAACTGTTATTACTAATTGTGCCTGAATTTCTTCTGGTTTGGAACATTTTCTTCATTCATTGTTTTTGAATTGAAGATGAAATTTTTACAGTATCTGTTGAAATTGTTAATATGGTGTTGCTGATTTTTCTAGTTTCTGCTGGTTGTTTGTTTTGCACTGTCTCAACTATTTGAACTGGGGGATGCTCTTCATAGTTTGAGAAATAACCTAGATGACCCTTTCAATAATTCAATGTTTTGCAAAGCTAGGATCCCACCCTTATAAAATATGTCAGACTTTTTTTTTAAAAAGAAAAATTTCATGTCACTTGTAGTCTTGTAATCCCAATTTTATGTCTCTTTGTAGGCCCTGTTCTTTTAAGCTACTTTGCTGTAATCTGCTCTGCTTTGTAGTTTATAGAAACCTCACCCTGCTCTGCTTTGCCTAGAAGCTTAAAAGAATAGGGTCTTACCCTGCTGTGCCTAGAAGCTCAAAAGAATTTTATATTTTAGGAGTATATTTTTTCCTCTTTTTAGACAGTTTGATAATGCTTTTTTTTTTGTTGTTATTCGTCGCTCCCATTTTACCGAGTAACGCTCCTTTTTTTACTTGAAATTCCAATTTTACCCCTAATATTTAAATACGGTTTTTTCCACTTCCCGACCAACATTTCTCACTTTCTTACTTCTCTCTCTAACTCTCTTACTCTCTAAAACACTCTAAATCTGAAAAAAAAAAATCTTCCAAATTTTTTTCTTCATTTTTAAAAAAAACAACAATCATCAAAAACACAAAAAAAAAGGGAGATTCGAGGCGAATAAGGCTGACATTTGGAGGGAGGAGCTTTGGCGGCGGTGGAGGCAGCGGTGGAGGCGGCGGCGACGGAGGCGAGCAGGTGAATTTTTTTTTTTTTTTTTTAACTACGGATCGTGGAACTTCCGCCCAAAAAATCCGGAAGTTCCAAGGAGGATCCGGAAATTCCAGGCGGATCCTCCTTGGAACTTCCGGATTTTTTGGGCGGAAGTTCCAATTTTTTTTCCCGTTAATAATATGGTTTTGTAATTTTTTATTGTTAATTTATTTTTTTATTTTTTTTTTGGATTTTGTTAATTTTGATGTTATTTTGAAGTGTTATGGTTAGTATTATTATTATTGTTATTATTATTGTTGATATTATTATTATTGTTGTTATTATTATGGTTAGTATATTTTGTACTGTTATTATTTTTAAAAATATGATTAGTATTATTATTTTGTTGATATTAGGGTTTTTATTATTATTGTTATTATGGTTATTGTTGTTGTTGTTAATTTTTTTTTTTTTTTTTTTTGGATTTTGTTATTTTTGTTGTTATTTTGAAGTGTTATGGTTAGTATTATTATTATTATTGTTATTATTATTGTTGATATTATTATTATTATTGTTATTATTATGGTTAGCATATTTTGTAGTGTTATTATTTTTAAAAATATGATTAGTATTATTATTAAACTAAGTTCATATTAGGGTTTTTAATATTATTATTATTGTCATTAGTAGTACTATTATTAATATTTTTAATTATGATTAGTATTATTGTTGTTGATATTAGTGTTATTAATATTGTTATTATGGTTATTGTTGTTGTTAATTTGTATTTGTTGTTGTTGTTGTTGTTGTTGTTCTTGGCCTTCTATGGTTGTTGTTGTTGTTGTTGTTGTTAATTTAATTTTTTTTTTGTTGTTGTTATTACGATTATGATTGTTGGTGTTGTTGTTTTGATTATTGTTTATTATTATTATTATTATTATTATTATTATTATTATTATTATTATTATTATTATTATTATTATTATTATTATTACTAAAATCGGATTTTGTACTTATTTTATGTAGATCGAGGGTTCTGGTGCTCAACATGCAATATCACGACGTCTGAATGCGTCTGTTAGGAGACAGACATCTCGTTCAGCACCGCTTCAGCCCGAGCAGCAGCAATACGGGTCTACTAGTGGTTGGTCGGGAGACCAACAGTCTGGTAGTAGTCGGCCCTTGTACTCTGCAAGTGGAGCACCCATATCTGACGAGGAAGACGAATGTTCAGCTAGTCATGCCGGTGACCGGGATGAAAAACAGGACCCTCAGGATTAATCCTTCGTGACCGATCACATCGCAAATACCGATACGGCCGACCATCTCTGGTTTTGTTATAAGACGATTTCACCAATATAAATCCCAATTTTATAGAAACACCATCAGCCCATGTAACTTCATCGTCAAATGTAAGAAAAAACTTATCCGTGACAAAATTCCCACTATAATTCACACCGTCACTGCCTTCCTCAGATTCCATATCCTATACAAATTAAACAAAACATGGTTTATGTCAAAATAATAATAATAAAAACAATAATAACAATAATAATAATAATAATAATAATAACAACAATAATAATAATAAAAATAACAATACTAATAATAATAATAAAAATAAAAATACTAATAATAATAATAATAACAACAAATACAAAACAATAACAATATTAATAATAATATTAAAAATAATAATAAACAATTATAACAACAAATACAAAACAATAATACCATAACATTAATTACTAATTACTAATAATAATAATATTAAAATTATATTTCTACTAATTAATAATAAGAATATCAACAACAACAATAATAATAACAACTACAACAACAACAATAATAATAACAACTACAACAACAACAATAATATCAACAACAACAACAACTACTACGATAATAATAATAATAATAATAATAATAATAATAATAATAATAATAATAATAATAATAATATTTTCAATAGTAATAATAATAATATAAATAATAATAATGTTACAAAAAATAATCAAATTACTAATAATCATATTAATACAAAAAAATTACATTCATTATCAAATACTAAATCACAACAATAATCACAAGACCACGAAAAAAAAAACTTAATTAACATTAAAAAAAAATAAACGTACTTAACATTTAAAAAAATAAAAAATAAATAAACAGGGACATCCGCCTAAAATATCTGGATGTCCCTAAGTACTTCCGCCTAAAATTTCTGGATGTACCATGGAAGATCCGGATTTTTCAGGCGGATTCCTACTTCCGCTTAAAATTTCCGGATGTTCCATGGTACATCCGGAAATTTTAGGCGGATGTACCTAGGACATCCGAAAATTTTAGGCGGATGTCCTATTTGCAGAAAATAAAAAAAAAAACCAGAAAACTTACAAAGTGTTCCGACACACTCTCCAGCGTACGAATGTTCCACTCGCCGTCCATGACCCAAGACCCGTCGGAGAATTTTACGATTAATTATTTTTTTTTTTAAAAAAAAAAATTAAGGTGGTCGTGGGGACCGATTTGGTTTTAAGGTCGTGGGGACCGATTTTGGGAGGCTCGGGATAGCAAGGTCGTAATGTGAGGGGACCGTTTCATGTAATGTGTCCAAATGGGAAACAAGGTCCTTTTTATAACAAAAATTGCATAAAGGGCATAGTTGTCCATTCAAGTCAAAATGGGAGGGTTACCCGGTAAAAGGGGAGCGACGAATAGCAGTTCAGTTTTTTTTTGGTCTTTAGAGAGCCACAAGGGCGGGGTGAGAATCGATTCCAAGATCTCTTGAAACCGGGAGGAAAACTCTAACCACTTGTGCCATCCCTCACTCTCACAATGCATGTTAGATAACTCCAAATCATTTTGTGAGGAAGCATAAAATCTTGAAAATACAATTACTATTATTTCACCAAATATAATTATGAAATACTTTAACTCCCGTGTAATGCAGACCAAATATTATAAATGATTACAATGATTTGTAAGTAGCTCAACAATTTTTATTTACCGGTTATATGGTCATATCCATATGACATACAAATTTTATATAAAAATTATTAATGCATGATATGTACAACAGGGTACACCATGTGCATGGTGCACCATGGTGTACCCGGTTAAATAAAAAAAAAGGCGGAAAGAACATTGAGTAGCTTGAAAAAAAATACATTAAGGTTTCTTTTCCCCAAAAATAGTTTTCTTTTCTTCAAATTCAAAAATTCAATTTTCCATAATAATTTTAGTTTTCTCAATAACATATATTAAAAGTAATGGAAGGAAAAGAGTATCATTACATTGATTTTTAAATTTTTTTTTAATAATATAATTTGAAAGATTTGGAATGATACATAGCTTGAATATAATGGAATTTGTCATACGGTTCGAAGTTTTTTGACAACAGATCATACAACGCACTCTTGTTTTTTGTCGACAAGAACGCAAGCCTTGAGTCGAAAGGGTACGTGAGCACACAACAAAACCACGGGCCAAGTGTATCTAAAGGAAGCTCGCGTTTACAATGAGTGCGGAGTCGAAGCTTGTGATGACCGATATTTCGAAGCGGGCATAAGCGGGATCGACGACAACGAGGGTGTTTTTTGAGGTTCTCTTGGTTTGGAGGGGATGTTTTGAAACAAGGCAAACACAATATCTATAAAGGCTTAAATCAACGCACAAATTTTAAAGCAATATGTAATCGGGTACGGAGCTTGGCCCGGGTGTACCATATACTAAAAACCAATCAACAAAATGAGAACAAAATATTCATTGAAATACGGTGCACTCGGGTGTATATAACAATCTCTCTAAATATAACGATAAAGTAAAAAAGGAAAATATTATATTAAATTGGTAAAAGCTAACGAACGTCTCGGGAACATTGAATAAGATAACTAAAAGTGGAAATATTAACTTGAAATTAATATTAATGATACCAATCGACACGTGATTTTGACATGCATTCCCAAATTAATACTCCGTACTACGTACCATATTTAAGCTTAGTATTTTAAAGGGTTATCTAATGTCTTGAGTCGGTTCCTACAAAATTAAATGTTTCCTAACACTTAACAAAAAAAAAAAAAAAAAAAAAAAAAAAAAAAAAAAAACAATTTATGACCGTAGATGTTATTCTTACTTGACATTTGCCCTTCGTATTCGAATCATTAATATTTTTCCAATGTTTTTCATATAAATTCCCGTTGCAAATTTTAGCTTGCATTCTGCTGCTCACTCCCTCTCTCTCTCCTCCACCTCCATTGAAGCTGCTTCTGAGCTTTCTCTCCTCCATTGAAACACCAGCTTCCCAGGTAACCTTTTTTTTTCCCCCTCTTTTAATCAATTTCACAATCTAGGGTTTGGTGTCACAATAACACTATCGTTTATTCTACTCTGACTATAATCAATTTAGGGTTCTTCTAAGCTGGGTTTTATTGAACTATTGGTTTATCTAGCGATTTTATTGCTACTATTTTTCTATATGTAATTCATGTTGATATTCTTGAGAGAATAATATTATGCTTTTTTTTTTTCGAGCTATAATTTGATATTTCTGTCTAATTTGGTCGCTAATTGATAACAGGGTTTTGTTTATAAGCCTTTAATTTTAGGATTGAACTGTGAAAATGAACCTTTAATTATGCATTTGGGTTGTTAACATTAATTTGGATTGAGCCAAATGACCTTTTATTTACTTTGAGCATTGTATAAAAACTCAAGCTTTAAGATATTGAATTTGGGACTGATTGATTATAATTTTAGCTTCGGTTTTATTCAAATTTTTAATATACTTCGTATAAATTTTGAAGTCACTGTTTGAATTTTGGCAATTGATTTATTATTTTATTTTAATTCATTTTAGGGTGCATAAAAATCAGAAATAAAAAACACTCATATATTTTGAGCGTCTCAAATCTTACTGGAGATGCCTGCATTTTCTGTGGCTAGTGCATGTAAAGCACCATCGACCTCGATTTTTAATCGTTCTAGACTTTTTCAGTCTTTAAGCTCCCAAAAATTACACGCTCTATCGGTAACTCATAAACCTCTTTTTTAAATTTCCTTTTTTTGTGTTATAGAATTATGCTTATCTAATTTTGATATGGTACCAGGCTGCAAAAGTTTCAACTGACATTGAGTTGTTGTCGCTGAAATCAAGCTCAAAGAAAGTTAAAGCTATGGCTGTGTCCGAATCAATTTCTACATCACAGTTGGAGTCTGCCTCTAGAAGTTCAGGTACTTTCACCCTTTGTTCTTTTATTGCAAAAATGTTACTACGAGGGCATATAGGATTAATGCATTCATGATTGAGTCTAGTAGAGTTTTTTCTTCTGAATTTGAGAAAATTCTGCATAATTTTTGATTGGATTATTTGTTTTTTTAGGCTCGGGGACAAAGCAGGTGTTGATTTCACTATCCGATAAAAGTGACTTAGCTCTGCTTGGAAGTGGGTTACAAAGCTTAGGGTCAGTTTTTCGCTGTCACCATCTCTTTTTAGAACATTGCTCTCTTCTTTTGTACGCATGCCATGTTTAATTATGTTTCATAAATGTTGTACCATGTGTTACATGTTCTTGCCAAAAGTATACATCTTGTTTTTATCTAGGTAACTTGCATTATTTTGAAGGGTCACACCCATGTCTGACAAGTATGGCTAGATAGGCAAAAGAGCCAAGTAACCTATGTTAATTCTGTATGAATTATTATTTCCAGTTATTTACTGAATTTAATTTAATTTTTATAATCAATTCTAGCTTGATTGGACGTCCTATCCGCCTGTGTAATCAGTTTACTGTCTATGTTCTAAATTTTTCTAGTGTATATCTTATTCTCATCCTTCTCCAAGATGCTGGCATATATCAATAAATATATCTTATCCACTTGTACATATATATAAAGAGTGAGCTGATTACAGCTTACACACACACACATATATATATATATATATATATATATATATTACCTCTTTCACTGATAAGATACACACACACACACACACACACACATACATATATATACAAAAATAAAAGAGGTAGAAATGTTAGTGTCATTTTCTCCAAGTTGTGGTCACTTTAAGAAACTTAAAGTAAAACCTTAAACTGACTATTTCCAGCTGTATTGATGCTTGAATTATTTATGTTGGTTTCTAGGCTAATATTTCTTACTTTATGCTTGAAACAAATATACTGTCAGAAGCTGAAGATGAACCTCTGTTTATTCTGAAGCTTCCGAAATTTTGGAATAGTTTCAGTGCAAAAGGATATCTAACAAATTAATTTAGATTAGAATAATGAACAATGTATGAATAGTTAACATTTGTTGCCTTATCTTTTAATGTAGAGGTGGAACCTGTTTGAATTTGTTGGGTGTAATTATAAATATATGCAATCTTAATATAGCTATCCATGGCTTGTAATGCAAGTTATAAGTTTTCAGATATCACGGCCTTCACAGGTAACCAAAATTGTTTTGAAAGCAAGGGCTCTATACATGTTTCTATTACTATATTGTGTTATGAAGTATTACTTTTACAAGTTGTATAATGGCTATTTATGCTTCAGAAAAGTCTTCGGAGATTTGCAGATAAATTAGTCTCATAATCTGTGTGTGTGTGTGTGTTTTTTTTTTTCATTGTTAGTGTTTATTTGCTTTTCTGTTGGATCCACCTGACAGATGATATTGCAAAAAAAAAAAAAAAAAAAAAAAAAAAAAAAAAAAAAAAAGCTTTCCATAAATTTAATGTGGCTTTCCCCCCTCTAGATACACAATTGTTTCGACCGGAGGAACAGCAACTTCTCTGGAAAATGCTGGTGTGGCTGTTACTAAAGTGGAGCAGCTAACTCGCTTTCCTGAAATGGTGAGCCTTCTGTATGTTTTGCACAAAGCTCCTAATCTTTATCTTCAACGTATTCGCTTTTACTCCCAACTGCTGATTTTATACTTTGATGTATAAACGGCATAGTACTTGGTCTTTAAGTAAGGTAAATATGCTGTTTAAGTGCCTTTTTTTTTTATATGATCTCTCTTCCTACTTTAAAGTTAGGCACAAGTAGGAGAAAACAACATTTTACCCAGTTTCAAGTATCTTCCCTGCCCAGGCTATCTACTAAAAAAGTAGATCTGTGTTCCTATTCCCACATTGCATCCAACAAAAGAAATAGACAGAGTAAATCACTGGAATTAATTGGTCTAATTCCATGAAATAAACTTTGAAGGACTGCTGTAGGGAGTTTGTGTACCTGCAAATGTACGTCTTATTATCTTTGAGCCTATACCGTACTTGTTTTCAATAGTTTAGGTGCATGAAAATGCTTATGAAAGCCACATTTTCTGTTTTGAAAACTTGTAACTTGGTTATGCTCATAATCTCATTTGTAACTTCAAAGCCAACATAGAATTGTAATTTTTATCTATATAATGATGATGATCCAAGATTCTCAATATCGGGCCAAAAGAATTGATTACTTTAGGCGATTTTGTATTCCCACATGTTTCTCGTTTGTTTAGAGATTTTATGTTTCCATGTTTTCGCATTGTTTGTTTCAATTTTCTTGTATTCTAATGTTTGATGCCTTTCATCCTAGGTTCCTGCAAAAGGTCCAAATTAGTGAATGATATCTACTTCCTTTTTAAAATTTGCACACACACACACACACACAAAAAAAAAAAAAAAAAAAAAAAAAGAAAAAAAAAAGGAATCTCTAGTAATTTCTATTCTTTTAGCTACATCTAGAGAGATTTAAAGTAGGATAACTAATGCAAAGGGATTTATGGGACATGTGACCATATAGGCAACACACCACACAATCCTATAACACAGCCATCTAGCGACTAGTGTTGTACAAGTTATCTTTCTAGAGAGATTTAAAGTAGGATAACTAATGCTAAGGGATTCATGAGACAAGTGTTACAAGCAACAGACCATACAATCCTATTACACATCCATCTAGCGTTGTATCAGTTATCCTTCTTAACATTGTAAACTGATGCCCTAGTGGTAACTCATAAATTGCTTTTTGTTGTTCTACTTGTTTCCACACGTTTCTTGAAAGTCGAAGTTTGGCATGCATTCTGTTCTGAGTTGAATCAAATATGACCTGGTCATTCAAACTCCATTGTCTTTACCACTTAATAATGAATTTTGTTTTTCCTATTAATTGAAAGCTTACTATATAAAAGTGCATCCTGATTCTGAGAGTGATAGATCTTTCAGTTGTTTGTTTTCTAGAAAGATATGTCCCAACACATATGTGCACACACTATGGGGATAAAAGGGTATAACACTCATGCCCTGAACAGACTGATCATAATGAAAATTCATTGTGTTGCCTTTTACAGCTGGATGGGCGTGTAAAAACTTTGCATCCTTACGTACATGGAGGCATCCTTGCTAGAAGAGACCTTAAGCATCACATGGATGCTTTAGAGGAACATGGAATTGGTCAGTTACACTCTAGGTTGATTACTGACTTTATTTTCTTGTGATGTTTATATGGTTTATATTGTTTGATACAATGTACTTGCAGGAACCTTTGATGTTGTTGTTGTAAATTTATACCCCTTTTATGATAAAGTGACTTCTTCTGGAGGAGTCCATTTTGATGAGGGAATTGAGAATATTGACATCGGTGGACCTGCAATGATCAGAGCTGCGGCAAAGGTAATTTTACTGCTTGGAGTATGCTAGAAATTTGGTCATTTGTTGCTTTAGATAATTAGTGAAACTTAAATGGAAATTGCTATGTAAGTTATAATTTTAGCTGCAGACCAAGCTATAAAACCTAGAAAATGTTGTTCACATACAAATTCTAATTTGACTAATCTTATCCGGTGCTATCTACTGACTTCTGAACCCCTAGTTGATATTATGCCTTTATGGGTTCAGTCATATCTTTCCTGGGATCTTGTGATGTCCCCCATTTAATTCTTTTTGTTTTGTTTTGTTGATTTGATTTAAACTTTAATTACATCAGTGTTTTAACTGCTGATAAACAGAATCACAAGGATGTATTGGTGGTGGTTGATCCACAAGATTATGCTTCTCTGTTAGATTATCTTAAGGGAGATCAGGATGATGAGCAGTTCCGGATGAGGCTTGCCTGGAAGGCTTTTCAGCATGTAGCTGCTTATGATTCTGCAGTTTCAGAGTGGCTGTGGAAGCAAACTGGAGGAGGTATGTCTATGAATCTGTAAATCTTGATGTTTGGATTATGGACAACACTATCTATTGAAAGAATCTTCATGGATACATTTTAAAATTAGGATTCTGGTGGGCTAAAATCAAATTTATTTAGTGTTGTTGTGTAAGTTGTAGGGCAATCAGCTGCCTTTGCATTTGCAAAGCTTAGCCTCTTTGTAGTTAAATGCTGCATTGCTGCCTAGGCAGGAGCTTCATCAAATGCATTATGGGTATTGATGTGGTTGTCTATAGACTGAAAAGGCTTTCAGTTCATTACCTAATATGTTGTTTAGACACCTAGTTTTCGAAATTTTCCTGATTGTGCACTGTTCACTGTCATTTGTTACCTTTTGAGTTACTATACTGGAAAGGGTATCACATTTACAAATGTTATGAGAGAACATCGTGATCATGCTGAATTGCTAGCGCTTTATTCCTCTTTCATCCTTAATGGTAATTTTGTTTATCGTGAACCCTTATTCGCATGTCATAACCAGAATGTGTATCCTCTACAATCATATGTCTATAATGTTCATCATAAAGAATTATAAGCCATTATTATAATCATCATTAGGGATTAGACTAATATTTTTTCTTTTGTTGAAGACAAATTCCCACCCAGCTTTACAGTGCCATTATCCCTTAAAAGCTCTCTTCGGTATGGGGAGAATCCGCATCAAAAAGCTGCATTTTATGTTGACAAGAGTCTTGCTGAGGTTAATTCTGGTGGTATTGCTACAGCTGTTCAACACCATGGGAAGGTGAGACAAGTATAGAATGCTTATGTGCTCTGAATTAATGCCTTGAGAAGTTATCTCGTGCCCTAGCATTGAATCATTTACAAGGAATGACTGTCTCTTAAGAATTAAATTCCAGTCAACATTAGGTATTCTGAGATTTTTTTTTATTTTTTTTTTATTTATTTTTATTCTGGGTATAAGTAATTTTAACTTGGTCTTTATACCTGGGTTGTCCTGTTTACCCTTTGCTGCCTTTTAGTGTCTGACCTATTGTTTGGAACATAGTTCTTTTAAACTTGACCTAAAATTGACAACACTTTTGACAAAGGATATGCTGTAGAAATTTCTAATGCTTTAAAGCTGATACATGACTTTGCATTTGTAAATTCACTCATTGTTAGTTCAATGAGATTTGGGTAGTGGTTTCAGGTGTGGGGCTACTCCCATTGTGTAAACCCTTACTCACATGAAGCTTGAGTACATCACTACATTGCAGACAGAGAGAAGGAAGATCAGGGTTTTGACCTTTGTTTGATAGAAATTAAGGGTTTTTTTTTTTTTTTTCCTCAAATTCCTAATTGGAGGGAGAATCATATGGCATCACTGAGTTATTGTCCAAGTGTCTTGGGTAGTTCAAACTTCAAATTTCAATGCTTTTGTCTAAATGTTCTTTCATCTATATGGTTGATAACTTAAGTCCTTGTGATTTTCATGACGTCTCATAAATTTTGGGTTTCACCATCTAATTGAGGATTTTGTGCAACCTAAAAAAATCATCATATTTTTTCTTTTTGCAGGAAATGTCGTATAATAACTACTTGGATGCTGATGCAGCTTGGAATTGTGTCTCTGAATTCAATGATCCAACTTGCGTGGTGGTGAAGCATACAAATCCTTGTGGAGTAGCTTCACGTAACGACATTATCGAAGCATACAGGCTAGCAGTCAAAGCAGATCCAGTTAGTGCATTTGGCGGCATTGTAGCCTTCAATGTAGAAGTTGATGAGGTAATCACCTGTTCCAGTTGAATCAGTTATGGTTCTTGGAATATACATATATATTGTTATACGCATAAGTTTTGATCATGCCAATAGTATCATATCATTAAGGATTTGGCTCTGGAAATTGAACTTGAGCCTATTCATCATAAGGAAAAGCAATTATTCTACTAAATTCGTTTTGACTGAGAAAAAGCATCTTTCTTCCTATCATTATAGTGTCATTGTCCTAAATAATTAACGACTCATGATTAGGCCGTCCGTAAAAATAATAAGCCTATCTAAACTTACTGACTTACTATCATGACATATATAAATCTTTTTAGTTTAACTGTCTCGATTTGCAAACTTTTTTATGTCATTAATTTGTCTCTAACCATGCTTCCAACAATTTATGTAACCGTTCTTTGGTATAAAAGCTGCTTTTAACACTTTTCACTACTGCTAATTTAAAAATGTTTTTGCTGGTGATCTTCTGGAAACAACTGTACTTGTCTTAAACTAATATTAGGAATGTAACTGCTTCTCTTTTGGTTTTGAACTTCTCATATTAGTAAGATTTCTGTAAAACTCATTTTTGTAGCAATAAAGGACTGATTCTAACTGCCATTCTTGATTTAAACACTTTGAAGGCTCTTGCAAAGGATATTCGAGAGTTTAGAAGCCCTACTGATGGTGAGACTCGGATGTTTTATGAAATTGTGGTTGCACCCAAATATTCAGAAAAAGGACTTGAGATACTACGTGGAAAATCAAAGACCTTGAGAATCCTTGAGGCAAAGAAGAATGACAAAGGGAAACTTTCTTTGCGACAAGTTGGAGGTGGTTGGTTAGCTCAGGAGTCTGATGATTTGACACCTGAGGATATCCATTTTAAAGTTGTCTCTGAAAACACTCCAACAGAGAAGGAGCTAAGTGATGCACAGTTTGCCTGGCTTTGTGTGAAGCATGTAAAGAGCAATGCTATAGTGATTGCAAAGGTGAATACCATTATTTATTTTGTTAACTCTTGCATGTCTTAGGTGACTTCCTTTTAATTATAATATTTTCAACTACTAAGCATAATTGCACCAATGGATTCTTACTAGTAGTCAGAAGAGTATCATATTCAAAACTTGCATGATTCTTGCTCAATTTTCCAAGTAATTCCTTGAAGTGGGTTTTAAGGTTGGCTAGGCTTGGTTTGTGTGAAGCATGTAAAGAGCAATGCTATAGTGATTGCTAAGGTGAATACCATTATTTATTCTGTGAACTCATGTATGTCTTAGGTGACTTCCTTTTAATTATAATTTTTTCAACTACTAAGCATAATTGCACCAATGGATTATTACTAGTAGTCAGAAGAGTATCACATTCAAAACTTGCACTATTCTTGCTCAATTTCCAAGTACTTCTTTGAAGTGGGTTTATAGGTTGGCTAGGCTTGCTTCGTTGCTTGGTTCAGGCTGCCTTAAGTGAACTGAAATGGTTGTTTTATATACATAGTATATTTCTTTCTTTCTTTGGATTTCATTTTATCTGTATATTAATTTTTTTATTTTCCAGAACAATTGCATGCTAGGCATGGGAAGTGGGCAGCCAAACCGCCTTGAAAGTATGAGGATTGCTATGAGAAAAGCTGGAGATGAGATCAAAGGAGCATCTTTGGCAAGCGATGCTTTCTTCCCATTTGGTAATTATCTTTCATATAGTCTGTATTTTCTTGTCTCTTTTGGAAGAAAATATTCTTGCTAAGTTAGCCTGCTTGCTCTCAAGTCTTAACTGTTAATTGCTATCCATAGCTGCTATGATAAGTTGTTGCTAAGTAGTTAAGTTCAGTATCATGTATCTTAATGTATCATTAGTTCATCGGAATGTACTCTGTACATGTTTTTAGCTTAGTGGAAGGTCAGATGACGGGCTTTTAATACCATGTTTTGTGAACAGCTTGGAACGATGCAGTGGAAGAAGCTTGTCAGAGTGGCGTAAGTGTCATAGCAGAACCTGGTGGCAGTATAAGAGACAAGGATGCTGTAGACTGTTGCAATAAATATGGCGTCTCATTAGTTTTAACTGAAGTGAGGCACTTCCGTCACTAACCCTGATGCTAGTTGTAGTCTTGTAGACACTGTTACCTTCTCCTTTGCCATTATAGTTTAATTAGAGGGCAAGATGCCCAAATTTTCGTGGAAAATAATGTTTGATCTCTTATAGTCTGCATTAGTTGTTGAAACAAAATATAAAATGACGTGCCTGTTCTGGTTCTCGGCCATATCACTCAGTTTTTTTTTGTGTTTTCCATTTTTTTTTTTTTTTTATGGTTTTGGTAGTACTTCCCTCATGATTTCAGACTCGTAGAGAAGGCAAGGTCATGTATAATTTGCTGCTGTATCTCATTGTTTGCAGACAATTTGCTCTAGTTATTTTCTTTAATATTGCAATAGTACATATACTACCTCTACCAATGATTTTCTGCAACATTTGCTATAAATGGGTGTTCTCTATTAGCTGTAACAAATTTTTTTTGTTTCGTTTTTAGTAAATTTTAAAGAGTTAAATGACCACCTTACCCTTTGTTTAATTTTGTTTAACATCTTATATAATTACACTTACTTACCAACTAATTACCACCTTAACCCAGCCACTTCGCCGCCCCTACCACCAGCTCAAACGAGCCCATAGCACCAGCCCTACCGCGATCAAGCCCCAGATCGCCGCGTCATTCTCCGACCATTCCATATCCCTTTCCGTTGCCACTAATCCACCACAACCACTAATCTGAGTTCGTGGATTTCAGTGGTTTGAGTTAGTGGGTTTCGTGGCGGGTTCGATTCAAGATCTGGAGCCATGGGTTTCGTGGTGGGTTTCAGTGGTCTGAGTTTGTGGGGTTCGTGCGTGAGTGGGGTTCGGTGATCTGAGTTCGTGGGGCTGGTGCGTGAGTGGGGGTTCGGTGGTTTGAGTTCGTGGGGCTTGTGCGTGAGTGGTGGTTGTGTGAGTGGGGGTGGCGTGGTGGGTTTCGGTGGTCTGAGTTTGATGGTTTTGCGTCCCTGAGTGGGGGTTGCATGGGTGTTGGTGGTTCGTGGGGTGACGTGGTGGTTCAACGATGTCGTGAGTGGTGGTGGTTCTCCTCTACTTAATTATGTTTTGTTTTTAATTTGGATCAATTATCCCTTCTCTCTCTTTTTAATTTTCAATAATCTTGTTTAAGAAATTTTAACTAGCTATCTCAAAAAGGACATTTGGTGCAGATAACTGTAGGCAAGTTGTTTATCTCGGGGTAAAATAGTCTTTTTGCATGGAAAGTAAAGGGTATTAATGTCAAAAGAAATATCACGGTTTTGTGCTGTTAAGGTGGCGTCAAGTCCCCATAGTTAATGTCACCTTTGCGAACCCAACATCCTTGAAATCAGTGAATGAGGTGGGATGCTCTTCTCCTCTCCTCCCTTCCCCTCCCATGGCCACAACCACCTATAAATTGCCGCTTCGAGACAATAATGGCCGACCGAACAAAAGACACCCTATTAGCAAAATATGTAAAGTGGAGCCATATCAACCCTTTAGGGGAAGGGATGACAAAGATGGATGTGGTTAATCACAGCTATCGTGGTTACGGTGTGGTAGACTGCTAGTGGTTGTGCAGTGGTTTGTCTGGTAATAGTGGTGGGTTGTCTAGTAGTCACGGTGGGGTTGATCTTAAGGAAGAAGAAGACTGAGCTGGTGGGTTTGTAGAGGAGAGAGAAGGAAGAACATCGCCAAAGTTCAATATTTTTTAGTAGCCTAAAAAAGAAGAAAATGACAAGATAACAGTTGCTGTTATCTCCGTCTTCTCCATCTTCTTTGCTTTTGGCCCACTTGCAATATGTCAGAAATTTTGTTGAATAATAATACTTTTTATTGTCAGGGCACGCAATGCTAGGGCTGTCAAGCGGGTCGTGTCGTGTCGGGTTCGTGTTCGTGTTGATGTTAAACAGGTTGAAAAACCCTTGACTCAAACCTAACACATTTATTAAACGGGTTGAAAACCCTTGACCCAAACCTAACCCGCTTATTAAACGGGTTACCCGTGTAACCTTTTACCCATATAGTATGTAATAAACTATAATATTCAATATAAAAATTAAAAAGACATACATCATTAATTCATTAATGATACTACAAGAGTTTAAAGTTAAGAATTATAGCAAAAGTACTACAAGAATTTAAAGTTGGTTGCTTTAGCAGCACAACCATACATAAGAATTGTCCCAAATTAACAGCCAAATTTTAATTTACAAAAGTTGAAATTTATTTTATTCGCCAAATTAACTGCCAAAAATTACCTAAATGTATACATGGTGCCAAGGCAATTTACAAAATTACAAGTTTATAACAAAATTTTCGGTTTTTGTTACTACTTAATTAATAGGTTAAGCGTGTCGGGTTCGGGTTAGCGGGTTGTCGTTCAACCCAATTATATAATTGGGTTACGCGTGTCGGTTTCGGGTTGAAAATTTCAACCCAAACCTAACCCGTTTAATTTCGTGTCGGGTTCGTGTCGACCCAATTATGTAAACGGGTCGAGAATACTTGACCCAAACCCACTTATTTCGTGTCAGGTTCGTGTCGGGTTTTCGTGTCGGGTTCGTGTCGGGTTTTCGTGACGTGTCAGCTTTTGACAGCCCTACGCAATGCATTTTAATTACAATTTTTCCATGAGATAAACTTTGCTCGTTTATCAACAAGATCAACTTGAATTTTCTCTATCTTTGATTGTTCATTATAAAAAAATGTATAAAAGGTGAAGTTATGAAATACAAAGTATATAACAAAACTGCTCTATTACTACTTTTGAGGCTTTTTTTAGGAAACGTTAGGCAGGCATTTTATTATGAATCAAAATCCACTAAAATTACAAGACTTTGCAAGAACAGAGTCAACAGATCCATAGAGAAAAACTACGAACAACCACAATTAACCCATCTATTACTATTGAGACTTATGGAAATAGAAGACCGTGAATCATTGCAATTGCTAATTACCAGATTGATCGAATCCATTTTGAGAGCACATAATGTACCATATACTTCCACAATGAATTAATGTGGGAGCATACGTTCTAAAAATGGCACTGGCTAGGCCGGGCTTCAACACGAAAAAGCCTGACACAATCAAACACGAAAAAAGCATGACACGGGCACGAAAAAAGCACAACACGGTACTGGGCGTGTGGGCTGTAGGCCGGGCTTGGGTCGCCTGTATTTGAGAGAAGTACGATAAAGCAATCACGATCGACACGACAAAATCATACTAAAATTAATGCAATTTTGCTTAGGCACGCAAGCTCGACACGAGAGCCTGGATCGTGCAAGAGCCAACCTTTTAAAAAATTTGTCCCGGCACGAAACTCATGGACCGAGCCATGGGCTGGACTTAATAAGCCCCAAAACACGTGGGCCTGGCACGAGGCATGACCCGACAAGGCCCAAAGCCAACTTTAAGCAGACCCATCAATCTCTACTTCTAAATAGTTGAGAACGATTTACAAATGTACAGTTATTCAATTACTTATATTCCTACGTTATTAAATAATTAACATTTTCAATAGATTTTCACTGTTCATATATTAAGTTATTAACTTTGACCAACATTTTTTAGTAGCATATAAAAAACAAATTTTATTATGAAATATTTTGTTAAAGTTTGACCATCATTAATACTTGTATAAATTTTGATAATATCAGCTTTTATACTATTTTACTATATTTGATCATATCTATTTAGGATCAAACTAGTGCATTGTCATGTGTGGTAAATGTAATTGACTCAATTATTCAAGAATGGAGGGAGTACTAGCTAAGAAACGTACGCAATATTTTTGTGTGCAATATGGTAAAAATATAAAAAAGATTATTTTTTTACCATTTATAAGTTACTTGTATTTCCTTTTCCTTAGCTACTATTTTTTTTTAATTGTTAGTTCCTATGTTTTTTTAATTTTTTTTTCTCCTTCTAGTGGGATCAATAATTTTATTTTTCACAAATTCTTATATGTGGTGGCCACACTGTATGATATGCCATCATGGAGGTTACTTCGTTACTGGTATAGGGGTTACTTGGTCAGTGTTACAGAGGTTACTTTGTCAGTGTTATAGGATTATATTATTCGGTCAATGTTAAAAGGATAACTTGGTTAGTATTATAAGGACTGTTTTGCTCTTTTATAAGCGGTCACTAACTTCACACAAGACAAACTATTTTTAATTATTATTATTTTTTTTTTGACAAGAAGAAGAATATTATCATTAATAAATAGCCATACGACATCTATAACAATAATAAAGATTTGTAAACCACATATCTAGAGAAAATAACATAACTTTTACAATCAAAATCATAACTAATTTGCGTATCGGGCATAGCTCACACTCCACCGCTTCAAACTTGACGCGAGTAGTGATTTTTGATGTCTTTGCATCTTTCCAAGTAGAGACTTTCGCAATCTGCGCTGATGTTTTGATCGTAGAGTTGATGACGAACCCTAAACCCATATGAATCCAAATCACCTTCTGAATTATTATTAAAACCCTAAAATTAAAATTCTCATCCATAGATGAGAATCAAAATCCCAAAAAATTGGGAAAAACCCAAAAAAATTGGGACAGACTCTCACAAACGGAGAGAACAAAACAAAGCAAAACAAATCTAATAACAAAAAAGCAAATTAAATTGAAGAAAAGGGTCGAAAATAGTCTAATTTCCGAAAAAATTAGACTATTTCCGACCTAAACGACCAAGAAAATTAAAACCCTAAAGAGAGGAGAGAGAAGAGAGAAAAGAGAGAAGAGGGAGGCGGCTTTCAATTATATTTTTAATCTTTCCCTCCAAAAAAAGAAATAAATTTTAGTGCCTTAATTTATTCATGTGTCTCCCCCCCTCTCTCTCACTTTTATTTTTTATTTTTTATATTCTACTTAGATCATTAATTAATAAAGATTCTAATGCTGCCCCTTTTTCTCTCCTCTCTCTTCTAGGGTTTTAATTTTCTTGGCCGTGTAGGCCGGAAATAGTCGACCCTTTTTCTTTAATTCAATTTAGTTTTTTAGTTTTGTTTTACTTTTTGGTTTATTTGTTTTATTTTGTTCTCTCCATCTGTGAGAGTTTGTCCCAATTTTCTGGGTTTTTCCCAATTATTCTGGGATTTTGATTCTCATCTATGGATGAGAATTTTATTTTTAGGGTTCTTACAATAATTGGGATGGTGATTTGGATTCTTATGGGTCTGGGATTTGTCATCAACCGGTCGATTAAAACATCAGCGCAGATTGCGGAGGTCTCAACTTGGAAAGATGCAAAGACATCGAAAATCATTGCTCGCGTCAAGCTTGAAGCGGTGGAGTATGAGCTATGCCAAATATGCAAATTAGTTATGATTTTGATTGTAAAAGTTATGATATTTTCTCTAAATCTGTGGTTTACAGATACTTATTATTGTAAATGCCGCATGACTTTTATTTAATGGTATTATTCTTCCCCTTCAAAAAAAAATTAATAAAGATTCTACTAATATGTTAAATTGATATATTTAGTAGAAACTAGTAGTCAATATTCCCCTTGATTCTCATACTCGACCTTGTAACTCTCAAAATAACATTTTCAAAAAATCGTCCTGAAAATTGAAAACAATAGTAATAAGATAGGCCCTGTTTGGTTGGGTGTAAAATGTTTTCAATGGAAAATGATTTTCCGTGAAAAACCTTTTTCATAAGAAAATGTAATTTCCTACACATTTTCCCTTGTTTGGTTACATGTAAACTGATTTTCCTTTTTAAGCATTTTCCGTCGTTTGGTTCAATAGAAAATCAACATTTTTTTAAAATAAAATTATTCTTTGTCTTTCCTATATTATTTATAAGGAAGATCTTATCAGTTCTTTCTCATACCGTACTACTAATACTATAATAGTCCACATGGCTAATGCTATGGCATTTCTTTTATTAATGCACTCATTTGTTTCTTCTCGCATTTCCCTTCGAGTAAGCAATGTTCTTGTATCATGTGAATCCATCTCCAAGTCTACCTCTCTAGTTATCTGGTCATTAGGATCCACACCTCTAAGGAAGTTGTGTATCACACAACATGCTAAAACCACATCAACCTGGGTTTTAAATGACCAAAAAGGCTCAACATCCAAAACACGAAGCCTTGCCTTTAGAATTCCAAACGCCCTCTCTACAACCATTCTAATTGAAGAGTGTCGAAGGTTGAATAACTCCCGTTCATTTTCTGGAGGATTGTTTGTAAATTCTTTCAAGTGATAACGGGTTCTCCTGTATGGAGGCATAAGACCTTTGCGACTACCAAAACCCGCATCTGCAAGATAATACTTCCCTGCACACAAAAATAAAAATGCATATTATAATCAATTTATCTTCAGTTTGCAACTAGCCAACTACCAAAAAAGAGACAACTACCTTCTGGAATTTTGAAACCCCTACTTAGCACATCATTAAGGACCCTTGAATCATGTGCAGAACCCTCCCAGCCAGCTAGAACATATGTGAACTTGGCATCAAAATCAACAGTAGCTAGCACATTTTGCGTTGTTCCGCCCTTTCTACCACGAAATCTATCTTGTATCTCAATGGGAACGGAGGCACGCACATGTGTTCCATCTATAGCCCCTATGAAATCCTCAAACCATGGAAAGAACCTAGGAATGTTTTGAATTTCTGGCTGAATTGAAGTTGTTGGTGGTTTCACTACCTCTGGATACAATCGAAGGATAGCTTGAAGTACAATATGAAAATAGTAATGTACGGTCCATGTTGACCGAAAAAATCTTCCCCCAATCACACGAAATCTTACATTATGCCCCAATAAATGTAAAAATATAATTACTTGCTCCTTAACACTCATCCGAACACTTTCCCGCAAAAGTCCTCTTTCAACTAGAATATTACATAGGCTATAAAATGCAGCAGGCCTCATACGAATTTGTCCTAGACAATGAGTGTCACCACAATGTAAAATACTATTGATATTTGCCTCCCTCAAACTATCTCTATTCACATAAGGTTGCCTAATTATTCTAGGCCTTTTATTCCTTAACCTATACTCTTCAACAAGAGAAAGAACAGAAGCAATTATAGCTGCCACAGAATCAAGAATCATGCCTTTCATAATCATGGGTCATCTACAATAACATATACAAAAATAGCAAATTATCTCAATAATAAGCCATAACATATACAAAAATAGCATAATATATCAATAATTACAAAATTAAACCAGCTGGGTACTCAAAAAAATCTGAAATCATATTGGATTTGGCTAAAAAAATCTGAAATCAGATTGGATTTGGCTAACCAGAGAACAAATGTGCTTTTTCTAATGCAATTGAGGATGGGTACTAATTGATCATTTCATCAGACACATTTAGAAGTGCAATATGACTATATTCTACCAAGTACATTGAAGGTCAGATGACTACTTGGATCTATGTACAGCACAAATGCACATTGCAGACATAATTTCAATTAACATGTTGGTATTAATTAATTTGTTTATTATACTGAAACAACATGCATGTGAATGTGTTATAGATTTATTCTACAATATGTAACATACTAATGAGTATTACCAGATTCCAGAAGAATATGACAGAAATTTTCTTACATTCTCTACATAATGAAGCAAGTAAAATCAGACCATTAGAGATGTATTATATACCTGAAGTGAATTTTGAGATGCTACCCCTTGATCCGACATCAAGAAAAATAGTTTTTCAGCCCAAATTTTCCTTTTTCTATCCGGCCCAAACCAAACAACGTAAAATGAGGAAAATAGTTTTCCTGGAAATGGTTTTCAGCCTAACCAAACAGGGCCTTAATGAAAAATGGACTAACAATTACACAATAAATATTAATCGTACAAGATTCACAACGACAAGTAAAACTGTCAGATAATACATGGTCTAAATGTCTAATTTACCTAATACTAGTCTAGAACAAAAAGTTGTTAGTTTGTTATTCCTCTAATAGTCAAATCTATTAAGTGTTGGATTAGTCAACTTGATTAAGAGTATCGAGGTTATGACATTAGGGAACAAGAAAGCATGCATGACCAAACTTAGCTAGCTTTACAGTTGAAAAAAAAAATCAACATTGAAACTACGTAATCTTAGGTTAGTCGGTGGACATAACAACTAAATTAATCCTTAATTGTTATTGTTAGCTGTGCAAAGATTGACCCATATTCCATATATGATTCTCTCTCTCTCTCTCTTTTTTTTTTTAATAGTACAAATCATACTTTCAACAAGTATATTAAATCTTTTCAATAATCTAAGATTTATCGTCTAGTGATAAAGATTGTAGCTTCTAATATTGAATCTCAAGAGTTTAATCACCATCAGAAAACATGTATTTTAAGGGAGAAGATTTATTTTATCTTTATTCTCCCCTTTCCAAATTTTCTAAGTTCTAGCATGCTAACACGGATTTAATTAGTTAGAATGTACAACTCTTCTTATCTTTTTCCTTACTTTGAAAAGACACCAATTTAATTCAAACCTATTCAAGCAAAATGCCTAAAATTTGTAATTTATAAAGGATCATTGTGATTTAATTATATTGAAATACTTACTTAGCACTTTTAAAATAATTAAAAAGTGTTTCCTACTCTATACATACATGTAATAAATAAATCTTATTACAGTTAGCATTCCAACATTCCATAGTTTATTTTTGGATCCGCCACTAGTCACCTAAACCACACTTTAACCTAATATTCATTAGAAGCATTATAATGAGCAAGCGCCATAACATAAGGCAATCAAAATTCGCTTTGGAATGGAAAATCAACTAATTAGACTGTATTATAGAGGTCGATCAATATATTTCAAAAAAAAAAAAAAAAAAAAAAAAATAAAAAAATAGAGGTCGATCAATAAGAGGCAAACATTAGACAATAAAATTAAGAAAATGTAGACTAATAAATTAGGTATGAATTTAAGTACGGTCCACCATATCCCTATAAAAGCATAGGTTAAGAAACCTAGCTAAGGCTTTGTTAAAATAAATTATTAATCCCTAAATCCGATGTTAAACATTCGATTTCTTTAATTAGTTTAGCATAATAGAGTGTCAAAAAAGTATTTGTCGGTGTAAATTACTTGCTTAACACTAGGCTATGCTAAAAGAGAATATATAATTAGTTTAACATGTTAATTTGCATAACTAATTGTTTGTTAACTAGGTTGCAAACCAACCGACCTACAACACTTGAATTAGAAAAGTTTACTGCCTGACTAAATTTGTTGTGTCTGTTTTACATAGGGAACATTCTGAATTTGTTGAATATAATGACAACTACATTTTCTTACTACCTACGTATATTTTAGTTTGGAATACTTGATTTGGTTGTGCTTTAATGATACATGGTTATTATTTGTGTTCCACTTAGGTATATTTAATTTGGGTTGTCTGATGTGTGCACAATTGTGAGTTTATAAGAAAAATGATATTTTTTTTTGTCAAAAACTACTAAATAAAATCCAGATTTTGTAAAGAACTACCTATTTTTTTAAAAAAAATGTCATTGTAATAAACTACTTCGTACCTAATAAGGTAAAATGTTGTAAAAAAACTATCTAAGAAAAGGTAAAATAATGTTGTAAGATACTACCTATACCGGATTTTCACCGTTGACCGACTTCAAAACATTCTCGAAACCACCGTTTTTAATTTATTTCCAAAACTAACACAACTTGCTTGAAATCGTGTCCACCACACGTCCACACCTAAACCACCTTTCAACCCCAAAACCACCACCTCTAACCCCAAAAACCACCACCCCGAAGCGTAGATCGACCCTGATCACCAACTCGGAATATCCTCCAACCACCCCAAAAATAACCTTACCACCTTCAAAATAAGCCAACCATCGTCCATCACGGTGGTTTTTTTTTTTTTTTTTTTGGGGGGAGGGGGGGGGGAGGGGTTGTTATACGTCGTAAAATTAAGTCAACGGGGGAAACTCGGTCAAAGGTAGTTTCTTACAATATTTTACCTTTTATTAGGTAGTTACTTACAACATTTTTTAATTAGGTATTTTCTCACAAAATCTAGGTTTTATTAGGTAGTTTCTCACAAAAAAATCCTGAAAAAAAAAAAAGGGTGATTTCACATTTAAAGTATGAGCTAGATCAGTAACCCTGGACCTAATTAAAGAAAAATATATACATAAATATGAGAATGGTTATTAAGCTTTTCTTTTACAAAGCTTATTATTCTGTAGCTATAAGAATTGCATTTATCATCTTCCTAAACATGAATAATTAATCTTATTGTATTAGTATTGGTGTGATGAGGAGACTAATTACACTTGGTTAGGTTTTGTGAGGTCGGGTCTATTCCAAATTAAAGTTGAGTTATGTTATGCATCCATACAAGTCAAAATATTAATTGTTTTTTTTTCTTTTTTTAGGCCGGTTGGATCAATTATTGATATCCTGAGTCTCAACGAAGATCCTTCATCTGAAATTATGGAGTAATCCGTATTGGGTCCTGTTCACTTCACTTTAAAAAAAATTTAATGACAATAATTCTAGTTCAACAAAAATAAGTTCATTTCAGTAAAAATAATTTTAGTTAAAAAAAATCATTTCAGTTCAATAAAAATCAGTAAATTTAGGCCTCGTTCATGAACTGAAATTATTTTTGCTGAACGAACTTTTATTATTTTTACTGAACTAAAATTAAATTTACCGAACTGAAATTATTTTGCTAAACTGAAATTATTTTTTTACTGATTTTCTGTTATATTTTTTCAATAAGTTTACTGATTTTTATTGAACTAAAATTATTGTCGATGAATAGAACTTACTGAAATGAAATTAATTTTACTTAATATTATTTTTTTTGAGGTGAAGTGAACCGGCTTTAGTTTCATCAGTTTCTATAAATCTAGACAAAATAACTATAAATCAGAGATATTAATATTATAATAAAAAATCTAGCTGGAAATATAACAAGTATTGGACTTTCAAATAATGCCATAGAAACTTCAAACATTACATAACATTGTGGATCCAATTAAATTCCAGGTGTCAAATGTCCCTAAATTAGAAGTGTTGATATTATAAATTTGTAACAGACGTGCAAAAACAGCATAATTTGAGCAAACAGAAAATAAAAGAAAAAAAAGTACGTCCATCGATATTTGATGAAACAAATGACGAACAACTTAACAAATGGAACATCTAAATGAATGTCGACTTAGCTGTCTTAAAAAAAAAATATGTCGACTTATTATTTAATTAAAGCTTCAATCTTCCATGCAATTTCAGTAATTCATTTTTGCAAAAATATCAAAGCTTTTATTTTATTTATTTATTTATTTATATTTGTCAAAAAAAAAAAAAACTTCTAAAAAACCATTCATTCTTTCAATTCCAAAATTCCCCCCCAAGTGTTCTTAAACTCCTTTCAGGTTTCAACTCAGAAGTAATTAGGGCCTGTTCCGATTGACTGAACTCAGGTGAACTGAACTGAACTGAACTGAACTGAGCTGAACTGAACTGAACTGAACTTATTAATTAGTGATTTTTAACTACGGATAAGTGATCTTTGATTATTTATTGATTATTTATTACTATACATATGTGTATATACAAATGTACATAATAATAATAATAATAATATTGTTATTATTAATTATTGATGATTATTATTATTATTATTTATTGATTATTATTATTATTATTATTATTATTATTATTTATTGATGATTATTATTATTATTTATTGATTATTATTATTAGTATTATTATTTCAATTATTATTATTATTATTATTATTATTATTATTGTTATTATTATTATTTTATTATTATTATTATTATTAATAAGAGCTTAAAATAATGAAATTTGGCTTTATATCATTAGGAATATCATTAGACGTAAATTAAGAGCTGAACTGAACTGAACTGAACTGAACTAAATTTCAATGGAAGAGAACATGCCCTTAGTCAAACCCATTAATGCATGCATGATTAGAAATGTAGATTCAGGTAACTGGTTGAATTTGATTAGGTTGGGTTGAGTCAATTAGGTCTATCGCAAATTCATGTCATGTTGATTAAGGGCCTGTTCTCTTACGTTGAAATTCAGTTCAGTTCAG